CTCCCCACCCCGCAGCTCCGCTGGCCCCAGCCCTGCACCCCAAATGGCTTCAGAATGCCCCAGATGAGTCCTTGGGGAGGAAACTGCTCCTGCAGGATGGGCATGAGGAGGCAAGGGTGAAAGCGCCCACTGACCCCAGAGGAGGGTGGGAGTTGGGGTTCATGAGGTGATTGAGGCTCATGAGGAGGGGAGAGGGCTCCACTGAAGCCACCACAGCGGCTCCAGGTGCCCTTAGGGGTGACCAAGTAGCTGGGGATGAGGGAGAGCACGGTGGAGCCCAGCACAGCCGGGTCTATGGAGGAGGGATTCTTATCTTGGTTAAAGGCAGAGCCAAGCGTTACCGGTGTCTTGGACATTAAAGCTCCTCCAGCTCCAACCCCTGCCATGGGCAGGGACCCCTTCCCCTGCAGCAGCTTGCTCCAAGCCCCTGTGTCCAACCTGGCCAGGGATGGGGCAGCCACAGCTCCCCTGGGCACCCTCACAGGGAAGAGCTCCCTTCAATCCAGTCTCAATCTCCCCTGTCCCAGTCTGACCCCATCACCCCTTGTCCTATCGAGTCCCTCATGCAGGTCCCTCCCCAGCATCCTTCAGAGCCTGGAACCTGCTCTGAGCTCTCCTCGCAGCTTCTCTCCTCCAGCCCCAATGCCCTCAGCCTGGCTCCTATGGGAGCTGCTCCAGCCCCTGCTCATCCCCCTCTGCCCTTGCTCCGTGTCCCCTCATCCGGATCGTAGATGGGTCATGGATGATCTGGATGAGGGTCATCCATCACCTGGTTCCTTCCTCAGCACTCACAGTAAAGAACTTCTTCCTTAGACCTAACCTGAACTTGCCCTGCTCCAGTTTGAACCCATCACCCCTTGTCCCATCGCACCAGTCCTTGATGAGAGCCTCTGAGCTCACCTTGCAGCTTCACTTCTCCAGCCCCTTTCTGTGGACCATGGGGAGGGGACTGGGGATGGGACACCAGGTCTACCCACAGAGCGGGTATTTATCCCCAATGGAGCATCAGCAGCAACCGCAGCGCAAGAACGGGTTTTTAGGTTTAACCACCCTATAGAAAGTCCTCTGACCCCAGGGAATAAAGGGTTCCCATTGTGCCTGCTTGCTTGAGCAATCGCTGTGCTTGGTGAAGCAGAACCATAGCAAAGCAGCCAGAACGGTGAAGCAGAACTGGAGGAGTCGCAGCTGCCGGGTGGAATTGTTGTAGATGGGATTCGTAGCTTAACATGGGAGACATCCTTGTTTAATCAGCATCCATGGAAAGAAAAGGAACCAAAGACAGCAGAGGAACAACGTCTGCAAGCTTGACATGTTCCTGCTTTGGGATACCTAAAACCGCCTTGTACCGACCCTGAGGTGTGGACAGGAGCCGAAACCCCATTGAGCCTGCGTGGAAGCAAGAGGTTCCCGGCGGTGATGAAGAGGAACGAGAGGCCTTCATCCTCACGGCCTCCACCAGGAGGCACAGTGCAAGCGCACCAATGGGATGAATGCCGGGAACCCGATTATACTGCTAAACGGGAATAGGGTTTGCATATGTATGAGGCGTGAAGCAGTCCCATGTGTAGGTAACCATTGTGTGCAATATAAACGACCCCAGTGGCAGAGGGAAGGTGCGCCTGCTATGGAGGAGCGGTCCCCGTGCGCCCCAGTGCTGAATAAAGCATCCCTACCTTACAACTATAACGAGCTGTGGAATCAATCCGCGCATCACCTCTCCTCGAGGCATTACGCTTGAGCTTAGGCAAAAGGGTAACGCTTGGCGTTCTCCTCTGCTCCCATGGACAAGCAGGCCCGCACTTACTGACATCACGGTCACCCGGTTTCGCTCTCCCGTCCCGTTCTTCGCTTTGCTCCCCGCAGTATCCCGCATCTCCTCCCGGTTCCTCATGCAGAGGCCCCCCTCCAAACCCCCAAAACCCCGTTCCGCCGTCTCCCGTCGTCCCCTTCGCGTTTTTATTAGCATATCCCCACCCCCTACGCACCCAGCGCCTCGCTCTGATTGGCCCGCTCCGACGCGGTGGGCGGAGCCCGCCTGGGCCCGCCGGGCATCATGTCGGAGCGGGAGGAGCGGCGCTTCGTGGAGCTGCCCCGGGACTCGGTGCGGTTGATGGCGGAGAGCACCGGGCTGGAGCTCAGCGACGAGGTGGCGGCGCTGCTGGCCGAGGACGTCTGCTACCGCCTGCGGGAGGCCACGCAGGTGCGGCCGGCGCGGCGCGGCCCGGCCCGAGGCCTGGGGCCTGTTCCTGTGTGCCGGTAGCGGTACCGGTAACGGTGCCCCCCCTCCTTTAGAACAGCTCCCAGTTCATGAAGCACACCCGGAGGCGGAAGCTGACGGTGGAGGATTTCAACCGGGCGCTGCGCTGGAGCAACGTGGAGGTGCGGAGATGGGCACCGGGTCCACATCCGTGCTGGGGGGGGGGGATGCTGAGGGTACCATAGCAGCATCCCCATTGCCATCCCTTGGAGCAGGCTGTGTGCGGATACGGCTCCCAGGATGCGCTGCCCTTCCGGGCCATCAAGGAAGGGGAGTTGTACTTCCAAGAGGATCGCGAGGTGAACCTGGTGGAGCTGGCGCTGGCCACCAACATCCCCAAGGGATGCGCTGAGACGGCCGTGAGGGGTGAGGGACCGGCACCCAGCACCCTGACCCCCCCCCATCCCCAGTGTGGGCACCCAGTGCCATCACCACCGCGCTCTCTTCCAGTGCACATCTCCTACCTGGATGGAAAAGGCAACCTGGAGCCACAGGGAGCCGGTATGGGGGGGGTGGCAGTGGGTTGGAGGGGGGGGTTTGTCCTCCCCATAGGGGACCATGGGGTGATGTTGTTGTCCCCCCCACACCCGACCGCCACCGCAGTGCCCAGCGCCGTGTCCACACTGACCGATGACCTGCTCAAGTACTACCAGCACGTCACCCGCGCGGTGCTGGGCGATGACCCCCAGCTGATGAAGGTGCGTTGGGGTTGGGGGTTCCCCTGTCCTCAGCCCCAGCACCCCAAATATGGGGCTGACCCCCCCCGCTCCTCACCCCCAGCACCCCAACATGGGGCTGACCCCCCCGTTCCTCACCCCCAGCACCCCAACATGGGGCGGACTCCCCCTGTTCCTCACCCCCAGCACCCCAACACATAGGGCTCACCCCCCCCCGTTCCTCGCCCCCAGCACCCCAACATGGGGCTGACCCCCTCCCACTCATCACCCCAGCACCCCAACATGGGGCTGACCCCCCTGCTCCTCACCTCCAGCACCCTAACATGGGGCTGACCCCCCCTGCTCCTCACCCCAAGAACCCAACATGGGGCTGACCCCCCTGCTCTCACCCCAGCACCCCAACATGGGGCTGATACCCCCTGCTCCTCACCCCCCCCTGCTCCTCACCACCAGCACCCCAACACATGGGGCTGAGCCCCCCTGTTCCTCACCCTCACACCCCAACATGGGGCTGACCCCCCCCATTCCTCACCCCAAGAAACCCCCCGCTCCTCACCCCCAGCACCCCAACATGGGGCTGACCCCCCCTGCTCCTCACCCCCAGCACCCCAACATGGGGCTGACCCCCCCTGCTCCTCACCCTTAGGTGGCCCTCCAGGACCTCCAGACCAACTCCAAGATCGCCGCGCTCCTGCCTTACTTCGTCTACGTGGTCAGCGGGGTGAGCACCGGCGCTGCCATGGGGATGGGGAATGGATGGGGATGGGATGGGGAATGGATGGGGCTGGGATGGGGAATGGATGGGGATGGGATGGGGAATGGATGGGGATGGGATGGGGAATGGATGGGGCTGGGATGGGGAATGGATGGGGATGGGATGGGGATGGATGGGGATGGGGATGGGGATGGGGATGGGATGGGGATGGGATGTAGCTCCCCACCAACAGGAGGGATGCGTCTCCTCACCGACCCCACTCCCGGTGCCGCCACCGGTTGCCCATAGGTGAAATCCGTGAGCCACGACCTGGAGCAGCTCAACCGGTTGTTGCACATCGCCCGGAGCCTCATCCAGAACCCCTTCCTGTGCCTCGGCTCCTACGTGTGCAGTCTGATCGCCAGCGTCATGTACTGCGTCCTGGAGCCCTTGGCCGCCTCCATCAACCCCCTCAACGACCACTGGACCCTCCGGGACTACGCTGCCATGCTGCTCAGCCGCATCTTCTGGTGAGCTTTGGGGGGTACCCTCACCCCACATCAGGCCCCACAGCACCAGTGCGATGCCTTTTGTGTTACCCCTGCCCCATAGGACTCACGGTGATTTGGTGAGCGGCCTCTACCACCAAATCCTCCTCTCGCTCCAGAAGGTTCTGGCTGACCCAGTGCGCCCGCTCTGCTCCCATTACGGCGCCGTGGTGGGGCTGCACGCCTTGGGGTGGAAGGTGAGCGATGGTGGAGGGGTTCAACCGCGATGTGTGGGTCACCCCCATCCCATCCCGCTGCTCTCCTCACCCTTGTGCCCTCCGCAGGCCGTCGAGCGGGTGCTGTACCCGCATCTCCCCACCTACTGGACCAACCTCCAGGCGGTCCTGGATGATTACTCGGTCTCCAACGCCCAGGTCAAAGCCGATGGGCACAAAGTCTATGGAGCCATCCTGGTGAGCCCCCAGCTCGCGCCGTGGGGCTGGTTGTGGGGCACACAAGCTCCCCATTGCCCCCCTCTTTCCTCCCTCCCCGTACAGGTGGCTGTTGAGCGACTCTTGAAGATGAAGGCTCAACAAGCACCGGTGCCCAGCGCCGATCCGCGCCACGAGGGTTCACCGCGGCACAGCCCCAAGCAGGACCCGGAGCTTGGCTTTGGCCTCGGGCGCCCCTTCCTGCAGTTGGGGGGCGGCAGCGGGGGGCCCCCATCTTCCTCGTCCTCCTCCTCCTCCTCCTCGCCCCCCGCCGCGCCGCCCGCGCTCTCCCTGCACCACATGTACCGCGAGCTCTACGACTTCTTCGGCGACAGCTTGGCCGCCCGGTTCGGCACCGGTTTGCCACCGAGCGCAGGCCAACCCAACGAGGGGCCCCCCGAGGGTCCCCGCAAGGACCCCCCCAGTTTTGGGGGTGAAGGCGCGGCGCGGAAGATGCCGCAGTTGACGGCGAGCGCCACGGTGAGCCCGCGCGATGAGGAGGCGGTGGCGGTGGTAACGATGGCGACGCGCCCGGTGCTGCACCGCACCGCCAGCCTCCCCCGGCCCCGCGGGGCTCCCCGGCAGCCCGGCCACCGGCCCGGTCCCCGTGATGTGTTCCAGAAGTGCCGCTTCGCACCGCGCGGGGCCCCCCGGTTCAGCTTCGTCATCGCCGGGCGCCAGGCGGGGCGGCGCTGCCAGGGCCGCCGCTTCCAAACCAGCTTCCCCCAGCACCACGGGCCCGGGCACGTGTCCCGGTACGCACAGAAGCTGCCCATGATCGGGCGCAGCCCCCGGCCCGCGCGGCGATGGCCTCGTGCTGAGTATTCGCTGCATCTCCTGTTGTGAGCAGGGGGACGGCACCGGCACCGGCACCGGCACCGCGGGGGTTGGGGGTAATAAAAGGTGTTGAGCTCTTGGCATGGAGGGGTTTTGGGGGGCTGCTGCTTGGGGTACGGGCAATGGGGGGGAAGGGGAGAGTGGTGCTGTTGTGGCTGTTGGGGTTGGAGGGTGGGATGCGGCTGCTGGGGGGTGTGTGAGGGAGGGATGGATCCAAGGCTGGATGGATCATCATCATCATCATCATCATCATCATGGATGGGTTCTAGGTTGGATGGATGGATGGACATGAGGCTGGATGGAAGCATGGGTAGATGGATGCATGGGTTCTAGGATGGATGGATGGGTAGATCTGAGGCTGGATGGCAGCATGGGCAGATGGATGGATGGGTTCTAGGATGGATGGCCCCAGGGCTGGATGGCAGCATGGACAGTCGGATGCATGGGTTCTAGGATGGATGGATGAATAGATCTGAGGCTGGATGGAAGCATGGACAGATGGATGTGTAGGTTCTAGGATGGATGGATGGACCCAAGGTGGCTGGAAGCATGGGCAGATGGATGGATGGGTTCTAGGATGGATGGAAGCATGGGCAGATGGATGGGTTCTAGGATGGATGGATGGACCGAGGGCTGGGTGGCAGCATGGACAGTCGGATGCATGGATTCTAGGATGGATGGATGGATGGACAGTCCCGAGGCTGGATTGAAGTATGGGCAGATGGATGGATGGATGGATGGATGAATAGACCTGAGGCTGGATGGCAGCATGGACAGTCGGATGCATGGATTCTAGGATGGATGGATGGATGGACAGTCCCGAGGCTGGATTGAAGTATGGGCAGATGGATGGATGGATGGATGGATGAATAGACCTGAGGCTGGGTGGCAGCATGGACAGTCGGATGCATGGATTCTAGGATGGATGGATGAATGGATGGATGGGTTCTAGGATGGATGGATGGATGGATGGATGGATGGATGGATGGATGGGTAGATCTGAGGCTGGATGGCAGCATGGACAGATGGATGCATGGATTCTAGGATGGATGGATGGATGGATGGATGGATGGATTCTAGGATGGATGAATAGATCTGAGGCTGGGTGGCAGCATGGACAGATGGATGCATGGGTTCTAGGATGGATGGATGGATGGATGGATGGGTTCTAGGATGGATGGATGGGCAGATCTGAGGCTGGGTGGCAGCATGGACAGTCGGGTGCATGGATTCTAATGTGGATGATTTGAGGATGTACGGCTAGAGGGAGGAGCAGACTGATGGGAGAAGGAGCCGCGGCGCTCAGCAGTGCCAGCACCTGCACCAGGACGTGCTGGGACCAGCCAGGATGAGCCCATCCCCGTGCCGTGGGGCAGAGGAGGAGGAGCCGAGCACGCAAAGGGGCGGGACACAGAGGCAGACCCATGGGTGGAAGATGGCCGTGTCCACCCTGCAACTGGTGGAACTGGTCCTCCACGGAGCCGCCTTCCTCTGCGGCATCGCCTGCGCGTCGGCCCTCACCGTGGCGCAGGTACCGGGATGGGATATGGGGGGGGATATGGGGGGAATGTGACCCCATTGCTTCAGGGTGCAGGGGGGTGGGATGTGGGGCACAGCAGCTTCACCCCACACTTGGCCCCGGTTGTCTCCATCCTGCCCCTACATTGACCCTGGTCCCCATGCCCGCATCTCCTGCCCCCCCCATTGATGCTCCCCCATTGCTGTGGGGCACAAAGGGGGCGGTTGAGCCCCTACTTTGCCCATCCCATGGCTGCAGCCGCCCTATGTGAGTGCAGGAGGCAGCTGGGGCTTGAGCTTCCTTCCTCCTCCCCATGCCTCCACCTCACCTCACCGGTCGGTCCTGCCACGGCTGCTCCCAGGTCCCTATGGATGCTATGGAGGGGGGGAGGTCCCCATCATCCTCCTCTCGTTGCTGCCCCATTGCAGGGGGAGTTTGGTGGTTGGTGCCTCCTCTATGGCAGCGTGAGCTGGAACGGGACCGCGCTGGTGCCCAAGGCTTTCAGCCACCCCTCCCTCTGCTATTTCGTCTCCGGTGTCTCCATCGTGGTTGCCCTTTACTGCTTCTCATCGCTCCTCTACGGCATCTTCGGCTGCTGCACCGGCAAGTCCCAGTGGTGAGAAGGGGGATGAGGGGCTGGATGTGACCCCCCCATTCCCATCCCATCCTGGATCCCTGCGCTGCTGATGCTGCTCCCATCCCCATAGGGACCGCTCCTGGCTCCGCGTCACCTTGGCCATCACCATCATCATCCTCTTCTTCCTCCTCATCTCAGCCTGCATCCTCCGCGTGGGGATGGACGCTCTCTGCGCATCCATCCTGGACACCAAGAGGGTATCCAGGTACCAGCGACCAACCCCTGGGGTGGGGTTTGGTGGGGGGGGGGTCCCTTTGGACTTCCTTTGGGGGGGTCTCTCATCCCTGTGTCCCCCCACACAGCTGCTGGGATGCCCAACACGCACCATGGGCGCTCTACAGCCCCATCCGCTTCTACAGCAACCTCAGCAGCGCGCAGGTGAGTTGGAGCAGGGGGATGCGGTGGGGCTGGACCTATAGCAGCAAGGAGAGAAACTGGGGACCCCCCCCCCTCTTTCCTTGTGTGTCCCCACAGTCCTCAGCCTGGGTGACCGTGTTCCTCTGGTGCCTGCTGACGGCCCGGCTGCTGCTGCAGCGGCAACGGGAGCCCCGGATCCCCCTGCTGAGGAGCAACGACCCCGAGTGCAGCGCGGAGGCAGAGGCCACTTTTGGGGGGCACTTGATAGGGCCCTGAAGGAAATGGCTGATGGGGGGGGTGGATTTGGGGGGGGGTGAATGGTGTTGGTTGGGGTTGGGTGCTGTTGGGTTGGTTATGGTTAGGTTGGGTTGGTTGCTGTTGGATGGGTGGTATTGGGTTGGGTAGTGGTGGGTGGGGTGGTGTTGGGTTGGTCATTGTTAGGTTGGGTTGGTTGGTATTGGGTTGGTTGGTATTGGGTTGGTTGGTGTTGGGTTGGTTGGTGTTGGGTTGGTTGGTATTGGGTTGGTTGGTATTGGGTTGGTTGGTGTTGGGTTGGTTGGTGTTGGATGGGTGGTGATGGGTTGGGTGCTGTTGGGTTGGTTATGGTTAGGTTGGGTTGGTTGGTGTTGGATGGGTCTTAGTGGGTTGGGTGCTGTTGGGTTGGTTATGGTTAGATTGGGTTGGTTGGCGTTGGGTTGGTTGGTGTTGGATGGGCCTTAGTGGGTTGGGTGCTGTTGGGTTGGTTGGTGTTGGGTTGGTTGGTGTTGGTTGGTGTTGGGTGGTGATGGGTTGGGTGCTGTTGGGTTGGGTCGTGTTGGGTTGTGTTGGATTGGTTGGTGTTGGGTTGGTTGGTGTTGGGTTGGTTATTGTTGGGTTGGTTGGTATTGGGTGGGTGGTGTTGAGTTGGGTTGGTTGGTGTTGGGTTGGTTATTATTGGGTTGGTTATTATTGGGTTCACTGTTATTGGGTTGGTTGTTGTTGGGTTAGGTGATACTGGATGGGTGGTGTTGGGTTGGGATGGTTGTTATTGGGTTGGTTGGTGTTGGGTTGGTTATTATTGGGTTGGTTGTTATTGGGTTCACTGTTATTGGGTTGGTTGTTGTTGGGTTAGGTGATACTGGATGGGTGGTGTTGGGTTGGGATGGTTGTTATTGGGTTGGTTGTTGTCGGGTTCATTGTTATCGGGTTCGATGCCCTCACTGGGACTGGTTTAGGGCTGAGCTTTGTTATTAAAGACAAGGGTGTCCGGTAAATGGAGCTGTGCCTGAACCTGAGTGCTTGAAGAAGAACAGGAGGAGGAGGAGGGAGGCCAGCAGGGGGGTCCCCATGAGCAGAACCTCCCTATAAGAGGAAGAAACCCAGTCTAGGGGTGGTGGGGTCCCTGTGAGCAGGAGGAGAAGAACCATGGTCAGTAGAAAGGAGGGAGCAGGGCTTGGAGGTCCTGGGAGCAGGAGGAGGAGCCTGGTTTAGGGCTCCCATGGGCAGGAGGAGGAGGAAGCTTCGGACTGAATGATTTAGGGTCCCTATGAGCAGAAGAGGAGGAAACGGAGCAGGACTGGGATATGGGGCATCACCATGGACACAACCAAGGGGAAGCATCGCTCTGTCCTTGACCAGCCCCAGGTCCTGGGGCGATGCACGGAGCAGATGGAGCAAGCTCCGGGTCCGGCTCCCACACCCCAAAATCCGCTTAATATTGATATGTGGATTGACTCCACAGCCCGTTATAGTTGTAAGGTAGGGATGCTTTATTCAGCACTGGGGCGCACGGGGACCGCTCCTCCATAGCAGGCGCACCTTCCCTCTGCCACTGGGGTCGTTTATACTGCACACAACGCTTACCTACACACGGGACTGCTTCACGCCTCATACATATGCAAACCCTATTCCCGTTTAGCAGCATAATCGGGTTCCCGGCATCCATCCCATTGGTGCGCTTGCACAGTGCCTCCTGGAGGGGGTCGTGAGGATGAAGGCCTCTCGTTCCTCTTCGTCACCGCCAGAAACCTCTTGCTTCCATGCAGGCTCAATGGGGTTTCGGCTCCTGTCCAAACCTCAGGGTCGGTTTAAACATCACACTGATGACAACAGAGGCTATACCTGGCCTTAACCAGGAAACCGGAGGCATTTCCCTGCCCCTGAATGCAAGCGGGCCCACACTAACTGACGTCACGGTGACCCGGCTCCGCCCTCCAGCTCCGCTCTCCTCCCATCCCCACGCTCGTTCGCACCGCTCATCCCGGTTTCCCGTGCGCTGATTCCCGGACCACCCCGCCCTTTAACCCAACGTTGAATCCTCCCGGCGTCCCCTGCGCTCCGATAGTTGCTAATTTGCATGGTCACGCCCCCTTTGTCACCAAGGCTTTCCCGCCTGGTCTGTCATGGCCGCGGCTGCTTCCTCCCTGGGCGTAACGAACGGCAAATGGCACCGCCCATTCCCTCACCTGCACTTCCGGCAGCGCTGATTCGCTGTTACCCCCAAAGGAGTGGGCGGGATTTCCGCTCCGGGCCTAAACCTACTTCCGGTAGGGCCGGGAGTGGCGGGCGCGGCGCCGCCGCTACCGGACGGTGCAAAAGGGGGGGGGGGGGTTGGAAACGATCGCGATCCCGGTTCGGAACCGGGTTGGGGGAGGGGAGAGGAGGGGAGGGGGAGCGGGTCCCGGTGAAGGGAACCGGGGGGTGGTGGCGGTGTCCGCGATCCGGTGCCCATCGGTGCTGTCTCTGCCCCCCCTCAGGCCGCCATGAGCCTGCAGTGGACGGCGGTCGCCACCTTCCTCTATGCCGAGGTCTTCCTCGTCCTCCTGCTCTGCATCCCGTTCGTGTCCGCGGCCAGGTAGGGCTGGAAGAGGGGGGGGGGATCCATGGGGTCTATAGGGGGCAATGGTGTGTAAGGGGGGGGGGTCTCGGGTCCCATCCTCACCCCGTCCCCCCCCTTTTAGATGGCAGAAGATCTTCAAGTCGCGCCTGGTGGGCCTGGCCGTGGCGTACGGCAACACCGTCTTCATCGTCCTCATCGTCATCCTCGTCCTGCTGCTCCTAGGTGCGTGCAGGGCAATGGGGTGAACCGGGGGGAGGGGGGTGCACCCCATACACCCCTTGTATTAAACCCCATACACACACCGTTCTCCCTATAGACGCCTACCGGGAGACCCATAAGTATGACGTGACGGACCGCGAGGCCTTGCGCAGCAGCCCCGGCGCCCTGGAGCACTTCCACATGAAGCTGTTCCGCGCTCAGCGCAACCTTTACCTGGCCGGCTTCGCGCTCCTGCTCTCCTTGTGGGTGATGGGTAACGGATGGGGGGGGTGTGGTGATGATTTAGGGGTGCTGCTCCCCCTTTAAGGGGGGTCCATGGCCCTGCTCATCCCCATCCCCCCCTCCCGCAGCCTCCTCCGCCGCCTCGTCACCCTCATCTCGCAGCAGGCCCTGTTGGGCGCCTCCAGTGAGGCCTTCCGCAAGCAGGCCGAAGGGGCCAGCCAGGCCGCCCGGCGCTACATGGAGGACAACGATGCCCTCCGGAAGGTACCAACAATGGAAGGGAATGGGGGGGGGGGACACACGGACACCCCCACGCTCACCCTATCAAAGGCATGGACCCAACCATGCTGTGTCCCTGTCCCCCCCCCTTTTTCCCCCCAGCAGCTACAGGAGGGGGGGGGCGATGGAAGCGGCTCCTCCCCTACCCAGGATGAGAATGAGACGCTCAAGGCCAAGGTGGAGAAGCTGAAGGAGGAGCTGGCAGCCAGCAAGCGCAGTAAGGGCAAAGGGGGGGCTCAAACCAGGGGGGGGGTTATAAGGTTTTGGGGTGACCCTAACGCCCCCCATCCCCTTTTACCCCCCCCCTATAAGCACTGGAGAAGGCAGAGAACGAGGTGCAGGCCATGAGGCGCCAGGCAGAGGGGCTGACCCGTGAATACGACCGCTTGCTGGACCAACACGCACGCCTGCAGGTATGGGGGGGCCCTGACACCCCCATGTCCCCCCCATAGCACCCCCAAATAACCTCCTAACCCCCCCTAACACCCCATTAGGCAGCCCATGATGGCCCTCGGGACAAGAAGGAGGAGTGAATGAATGGACCAGGCACGCACCCCAAGAGCTGGGGGCAGGACTCTAAGGTGTTTCTAAGGGACCCCCCCCCCCCCATATTTGGGACCCTGTTGCTGTATTGGGGGGCATGGAGGGGTTTGAGCCCCATTTCAATGGGTCTGAGCACCATCACCGTATCCTTTCCATGGGGGTCCCCTGGGTGTGGGCAATGGGACCCCCTCACACAGCTTCTGCTTCAATAAACCCATGGGATCAGGTTGGGGTTGTGTCCGTCCCACAGCGCTTTGGGGGGCCCCTTTGCCCCCCCAAAACAGAGCCCACTGAGGCTTCACCCCCTTTATTGGCACCGTGCACAGGCAGTGGGTGTGGGGCACGCTATGGGGCAGGATGCCCATCCGTCAGTCTGTCCTTCACCTGCGCCCCATGGTGCTGCAAGGGCAATGGGGCAGTCTGTCCATCTGTGGGGCTGTCATCCTGTGGGGCACAGCCCCCTGTGTGTGGGGCAGACCCATCTGTTCCTCTGTGGGGCACACCGCACGCTATGGGGCGCGATGGAGCGCCCGGGCCTGGCCCCGCAGCGCCTCAAACTCCTTCTGCACAAAGTCCGTCAGCGCCTTCCTTATCTCCATCTATGGGGCAGAAAGAACAGGCCCCATAGAACTCAATGGGGCACGGGCCCCACAGTGCCATGGGGATGCCCCATAGCAGCCCCACATCTATGGGGCATCCCCCCCCAGGTACTCACCGTTGAGGTGCCCTCAGCCCGGAGCCTCTCCAGGAGGGGCCGGACGCTGAACGGTCGCCCCACAACCACTGTGATCCGCTATGGGGCAGAGTCAGTGCGTCAGTACCCCACGCCCTGCCCCACAGCTCAACCTGCGGCACCCCCGCCCCACACCCTGCCCCATAGCGTTACCCCCCCCCCCCCGGCTCACTCACCTGCCCCACACGGGGCACGTAGGGGCGGGTGTTGGGGAGGACGTCGTTCATGCCTGCCATGGGGTCAGCAGCCGCCTGCATGGCCGAGCACCAGGACGGGCCCCACAGCGGGAGCCAGTCCCACATCCCCCTGCCCCATAACCACCCCCTCCCCCCCCCAAGTCCTCCTGCCCCACATTCCAGCCCCCCCCCCAGCCCTGCTCACCCCCATGCCACAGGGGCAGGACGATGGGGTCGAGGCGGCACTCGGCCAGGAGACGCCCGATGCCTATGGGGGGGCAAAGGGGGGCGCTCTGTGGGGCTGGGCAGAGCTTGGGGGGCACCAGAGAGCAGGGAAGGGGCACAGGAGCAGCTGGGGGGCAGAAAAGGGGCAATGGGGGCCAAGAAGCATGTGAGGGTGTTGTGGGGGAGAGGGAAGGGGTTGTGGGGCACGGCTGTGGGGCAGACGGGGGGTGTAGGGTGCAGTTGGAGGGCAGAGAGGAGTGGTTGTGGGGCAGAGGCAGCTGGATGTGGGGCAGAAAGGGGTGGTTGTGGAGCACAGCTGTGGGGCAGAAAGGGGTGGTTGTGGGGCAGAAAGGGGTGGTTGTGGGGCACAGTTGTGGGGCAGAAAGGGGTGGTTGTGGGGCAGAAGGGGCTGGATATGAGGCACAGTTGTGGGGCAGAAAGGGGTGGTTGTGGGGCAGAAGGGGCTGGATGTGGAGCACAGTTGTGGGGCAGAAAGGGGTAATTGTGGGACATGGTTATGGGGCAGAAAGGCGTGGTTGTGGGGCAGAAGTGGCTGGATGTGGGGCACAGTTGTGGGGCAGAAAGAGGTGGTTGTGGGGCACAGTTGTGGGAGAGAGAGGGGCAGTTGTGGGGCAGAAGGGGCTGGATGTGGGGCACAGTTGTGGGGCAGAAAGGGGTAACTGTGGGGCACGGTTATGGGGCAGAAAGGGGTGATTGTGGAGCAGAAGGGGCTGGATGTGGGGCACAGTTGTGGGGCAGACGGGGTGCTGTGGAGCACGGTTACGGGGCTCACCCCACTTGAAGCGCACGAACTCCTGCCCCATGTTCACTTTGCCTGGGGGGGGACAGGAAGCCACAGTGGGGATGGGGGGGGGCAGCACATCCGCCTCCAACCCCCGACCTCCCCCAGTCCCCCCAGTTCAAGCCCCTCCCCAGCCCCACTGCTCCCCCCGGTACCTTCGGGGAAGACGTGGACCCAGTCCCCCTGGTTGAGCTTGTCCAGGATGAAATCCATCCCGCGCTGGTACACGCCGTCCCCTGCACGCACCCGGGTAAGAAACTGGGGAACCCCCCATAGGACCCCCCTCATAGGATCCCCCCATAGAACACCCCCATAGGACTCTCTCCACAGAACACCCCCATAGGACCCCCCCTGTAGGACCCTCTCCATAGGACACCCCATAGGACCCCCCCATAGAACACCCCCATAGGACCCTCTCCATAGAACACCCCCATAGGACCCTCCTCATAGGACACCCTCATTAGAATCCCTCTCATAGGACCCCCCCATAGGACACGCTTATTAGAACCCGCTTTATAGAAGCCCCCCATAGGACACCCCATAGAACCCCCCCCATAAAAACCCCCATAGGACCCCCCCATAGAATCCCCCAACCCAGCCCATTATAAAGTGAGACAACCCCAGTGCCCCCAAGTCCCTAACCTTAAACCTAACCCCCCATAGAACCCCCCTATACTCCCCCCACATAGCAGTCCCCATATAACCCCCCCATAGGTCCCCCCAAACCACCCCCCATACAACCTCCCCCATAGAATACTTTCCAAAGAACCCCCCCATAGGTCCCCCCCCAACCCACTCCAGTATAACTTGGGACAAACACATAGCACCCCCCAGTCTCTAACCCTAAACCCCCCATAGAAACCCCTCCACATAGCACCCTCCCCCAGTTCCCCCCCAATCTCTAAACCTAACCCCTCCATAGAACCCCCATCATAGAAACCCCCCATAGAACACCCCCAGTGCCCCCCCAGTCTCTAATCCTAACCCCCCCATAGAAGCCCCCCCAGTGCCCCCCAAGTCTCTAACCCTAACCCTCCTCATAGAACCCCACACTGCCCCCGTCTAATCCTACCCCCCCATAAAACCCCGCCAATGCCCCCCCAGTCTCTAACGCTAACTCCCCCACAGAACCCCCCATAGAACCGTGCCCCCCCAGTCTCTAACCCTAAGCCCCCCCATAGACCCCCCCCAGTCTCTAACCGCCCCATAGAACCCCCCCAGTCTCTAACCCTAACCCCCTCATAGAACCCCCCAGTGCCCCCCAGTCTCTAACCCTAAGCCCCCCATGGAACCCTCCCCAGTCTCTAACCGCCCCATAGAATCCCCCAGTCTCTAACCCTAAGCCCCCTCATAGAACCCCCCCATAGAACCGCCCAGTCTCTAATCCTAACCCCCCCATAGAACCCCCCCAGTCTCTAACCCTAACGCCCCCTATAGAACCCCCCCATAGAACCCCCCCAGTGCCCCCAAGTCTCTAACCCTAACCCCCCATAGAAACCCCCCAGTCTCTAACCCTAACCCCCCTTTTATAGAACCACCTCATAGAATCCCCCATAGAACCCCCCAGTCTCTAAACCTAACCCCCCATAGATCTCCCCCATAGAACCCCCCCCATAGCACCCCCCAGTCTCTAACCCCAACCCCCCCCATAGATCCCCCCCCAGTGCCCCCCATCCTCACCCCTGCACACGGGGACGCAGCGGCCGAGGCTGAAGAAGAGCGAATGCAGCTCCCGGGTGAAGCAGATGTCGGCGGCCGTGGGGGTCCTGGGGGGGTGATGGGGGGGGGGCGTTGGGAAATGGGGGGGTCATGGGGGGGGTTGGGACATGGGGTGAATTTGGGGGGGGGTCACAGGGAACCCCCAAACCTGCCCCCCCCCCTTCCTCCTCACCAGCGCATCTTGTGCAGGCTCCAAACGTGCCGCAGCTTCAGGGAACCTGGGCCAGGGAACAAAGGGGGGGGTTACCGGGGGGGACCCCAAAGAGAGCCATAGGGACCCCATAGAGACACAGGGACCCCCACAGAGATACACAGAGGCCCCGATAGAGACACACAGGGACCCCATAGAGACACAGGGACCCCCATACAGATACACAGAGAGCCCCATAGAGAGACAGAAATCCTCTTAGAGATACACAGGGACCCCCTTAGAGACACATAAAAACCCCCATAGACACATACAGGGCCCCTCCCCCAGAGACCCCTCCAGTTCCCCCTGTAGAGACCTTCATAGAAACCCCCCAGTCCCCCTATAGAGACCCCCATAGAAACCCCCCAGTCCCCCCCCATAGAGACCCCCATAGAAACCCCCCAGTCCTCCCTGTACAGAGAGCCCCCATAGAGACCCCCATAGAAGCCCCCCAGCATCCCCATAGAGACCCCCATAGAAACCCCCCAGTCCCCCTATAGAGACCCCATAGAAACCCCCCAGTCCTCCCTGTAGAGACCCCCATAGAGATAGACCCCCAAGCCCCCCCAGCATCCCATAGAGACCCCCATAAAAACCCCCCAGTCCCCCAGAGACCCCCATAGAAACCCCCCATCCCCCGTAGACCCCCATAGAAACCCCCCCAGTCCTCCCTGCAGAGACCCCCATAGAAACCCCCCAGTGTGCCCCATAGTGACCCCCCAAAACCCCCCAGTCCCCCCATAGAGACCCCCATAGAAGCCCCCCAGTCTCCCTGTAGAGACCCCATAAAAACCCCCCAGTCCCCCCATAGAGACCCCCATCATGAAACCCCCCAATCCCCCCATGAAACCCCCATCAACACATGCCCATAAACCCCCATAGAAACCCCCCAGTGTCGCCCATAGAGACCCCCACCCATAGAGACCCCCCCACAGAAACCCCCCAGTGTGCCCCTTAGAGACCCCCATAGAAAAACTCCCTAGTGTCCCCATAGAAACCCCCAGTGTCCCCCACAGAAACCCCTATAGAAACCTTCCAGTGTCCCCCGTAGAAACCCCCATAGAAAAAGTGTCCCCCATAAGAGACCCCCATAGAAACCCCCCAGTCCCCCTATAAATACCCCCATAGAAACCCCCCAGTCCATCCCATAGATACCCCCATAAAGAAACCCACCAGTCCCTCCATAGAGACCCCCATAGAAACCCCCCAGTCCCCCCAATAGAGACCCCCTGAAACCCCCCAGTCCCCCCATAGATACCCCATAGAAACCCCCCAGTCCCCCCCATAGAGACCCCCATAGAAACCCCTCAGTGTCCCCTGTAGAGACCCCCATCAAATAGAAACCCCCCAGTCCTCCCCAAAGAAACGCCCATAGAAATCCCCCAGTCCCCCCATAAAGACCCCCATAAAAACCCCCCATCCCCATAGAGACCCCCATCAAACCCCCCAGTCCCCCCCATAGAGACCCCCATAAAAACCCCCCAGTCCCCCCCATAGAGACCCCCATAGAAACCCCCCAGTGTCCCCCATAGAAACCCCCCAGTCCCCCCATGGAAACCCCCATAGAAACCCCCCAGTGTCGCCCATAGAGACCCCCACAGAAACCCCCCAGTGTGCCCCTTAGAGACCCCCATAGAAACTCCCTAGTGTCCCCCATAGAAACCCCCCAGTGTCCCCCACAGAAACCCCCATAGAAACCTTCCAGTGTCCCCCGTAGAAACCCCCATAGAAACCCCCCAGTGTCCCCCATAGAGACCCCCATAGAAACCCCCCAGTCCCCCTATAAATACCCCCATAGAAACCCCCCAGTCCATCCCATAGATACCCCCATAGAAACCCACCAGTCCCTCCATAGAGACCCCCATAGAAACCCCCCAGTCCCCCAATAGAGACCCCCCTCAAAATACCCCCAGTCCCCCCATAGATACCCCATAGAAACCCCCCAGTCCCCCCCATAGAGACCCCCATAGAAACCCCCCAGTGTCCCCTGTAGAGACCCCCATAGAAACCCCCCAGTCCTCCCCATAGAAACGCCCATAGAAATCCCCCAGTCCCCCCCATAAAGACCCCCATAGAAACCCCCCAGTCCCCCCCATAGAGACCCCCATAGAAACCCCCCAGTCCCCCCATAGAGACCCCCATACCCCTCCCCCCCAGGCCGTACCCCACAGGTGGGGGTCGTCCATGCAGGACTGGTGGTTGGAGAGTGTGAGCAGGGGGGTGCGGGGCCCGCGCCGCTCCACGAGCTCGTGCAGGACCTCTGCGTTGTGCACGCGCAGCCGGTTCAGGTACCCTGGGGGTGGGGGGGGGGTTCACGGTGACCCCCGTGATCCCCCCCCACCGGCTCCACCGCCCGCGGCCTACACCGAACCCGCGGCACTCACGGGTCCAGACGCAGCTGTAGGTGCCAACCAGGCCCATAACGATGCGGCTGGCAAGGGCCCAGGGCAGCGGCTGCCCCGCGGGGAACGGCCAGCTCACGGCCAGCGGCATGCTGCCATTGCGGGGCACCGGGGGGGGCACGGAGGGACCGGGACCGGCACCCGGACCCGGACCGGGCCTCCACTGCCCGCCCCACACGTCCCCCTGGCGTAAAGCGCGCCGCCGCGCGTCGCAAACGTCGCGCGGCGAGGATGCCGCGCTGCCGTCAAGGGAGCCCGGTTCGCTACACGGTGGATGGGTGCCGTCAAGCGAGCCCGGTTCGCTACACAGCGGATGGGTGCCGCCGAGGGCAGCGTGATGTCGCAAACGTCGCGCAGCGAGTCTGCCGTCAAGCGAGCCCGGTTCTCTACACGGTGGATGGGTGCCGCCGAGGGCAGCGTGATGTCGCAAACGTCGCGCGGCGAGTCTGCCCTCCTGCCGTCAAGCGAGCCCGATTCGCTACACAGTGGATGGGTGCCGCCAAGCGCCGCGTTATGTCGCAAAGTCGGTGAGGTGTGGGGGGGCTGTACTGCCATTAAATGCCGCATGATGTCGCGCCATAGGGGAGCGAACAAGCCCCGCCCCTTCGCGCTCTCAGCCAATCCCCACTCTAGCCACGCCCACCTCGCAGGGGCGTGCCCCCGTCACCACGGCAACGCCCGGCGCCATTTTTAGACGTGAGGCGGCGGCCGCCATTTTTGAGGGGCGGGGACCGCGGCCGGACCCGGCCTCCGGTGGCTCCGCCCCGGCCCGGCCCGGCCCGGCCCTGCGGGGACCCGGCGGCGGGAGGCGGAGGTGGAGTGGGACGGGCAGGTACCGGCGCTCGGGCCCGTCAGCACCCCCCCCTCCCCCCCTCCGGTCCCGGCTTCACCCCGTTCTCCTCCTTTAGGGCCCCCACGGGGCGGCCGCCGCCGCCGCCGCCATGGCCGCTGTGTGGCAGCAAGTGCTCGCCGTGGATGCGAGGTGAGCCCGGGAGGGTTTCCCTGTGCAGGGCGGTGGAGGGGGGGGTGAAGGCCCCGGGTCCGTGTCACCGGTTGCCCCGGTCCCTCTGTGGGGTTGCGGGGGAGCAGAAGCCGGTACCGGGGTGTCGATATCCGCAGGTACGCGGCCTACCGCACCCCGCGCTGGCCGCAGTTCCGGACCCAGTACGTGCGGCGCCGGAGCCAGTTACTGCGGGAGCAGGCGCAGGGGGGAGCCCTGGAAGGCAGCACCCGGCGCTGGTACCTGCGGGTGCGGACCCGGCTGCTGGCCCAGCGCTACGGGGCCTTGTCCGAGCAGAGCAGCTGCCGGGCCCACAGCAGCAGCGCCCTGCGGGCCAGCCGCACCACGCTGGACCGCATGGAGGTAGGGCCGGGATGGGGGGGGGTCTGCTCTGGTGAGACCCCCGCTTGCAGCACTGCAGTGCTGGTGGTGTCAGCGGGACATGGAGCGAGGCCAGGGGAGGGCATGAGGATGAGCAGGGGCTGGAGCAGCTCCCATAGGAACCAGGCTGAGGACATTGGGGCTGGAGGAGAGAAGCTGCAAGGAGAGCTCAGAGCAGGTTCCAGGCTCTGAAGGATGCTGGGGAGGGACCTGCATGAGGGACTTGATAGGACAAGGGGTGATGGGGTCAGACTGGGACAGGGGAGATTGAGACTGGATTGAAGGAAGCTCCTCCCTGTGAGGGTGCCCAGGGAAGCTGTGGCTGCCCCATCCCTGGCCAGGTTGGACACAGGGGCTTGGAGCAAGCTGCTCCAGGGGAAGGGGTCCCTGCCTATGGCAGGGGTTGGAGCTGGATGAGCTTTAAGGTCCCTTCCACCCCAACCCCATCTGATTCTATGCTCCTCAGAGCTGCAGAACATGTTTGGGGGGGCCCTTGGGTTGGGATCCTCATGGCTCTATTGCTCCCCCCAACTCTTTCCTCTCCCCCAGGACTTTGAGGACGACCCACGCGTGGCACGAGGACACCGGCGCTCCCTCAGCCGCGGCTCCCACCCTGGGGTACCCCGCGGGGGCCCCGATGAGCGGTGAGCACCCCTGGGTCCTTTGGTGGTGGTGGTGGGGGGGGATATGGTGTATTGGGTGCTGATTCCCAGCCCCATCTCTCCACAGCCCCCCCGGTGTGGTGCCGACCCCATTGGCTGAAGCCAGCCGCGCCATGGCCGGGGACACGACCCTGAGTGAGAACTACGCCTTCGCCGGTGTCTACCACGTCTTCGACCAGCACACGGACAGCGCCGGTAACTGGGAGGGCACTGGGAGGGGGGATGGGTGATGATGGTTTGGCTCTGGTGCACCCCAAGCACTGACACCCTCCACGGTTTGCCCAGTGCCTAAGGTGCAGTTCGCCCACGACGACCGGCACTTGCTGGCGTGCTGCTCTCTGGACGGCACCATCTCCGTGTGCCGCTTGGCACCGGGGCCGCCGGCCGTGCTGCAGGTGCTGCGGGGCCACGGTGCCGGCGTGGCCGACTTTGCCTGGTCCCTCTCCAACGATGTCCTGGTGTCGGCTTCCTTGGATGGGACCCTGAGGCTCTGGGCTCCTGCCGATGGGCGCTGCATCCGCCGCGTGCCCGACCCCGATGGGGCTGCATTGCTGTGCTGCGCCTTCCAGCCGCTCAACAACAACCTCACTGTGGTCAGTGGCACCCCATGACCCCACATCCCCCATGTCCTGCATGCAGCACCCTCCCCATCCCCCTATTCTCCATCCCAACAACCCACCCTGAGTGGTTTTGGGGGGGGGGTCATCACATCCCCATCCCATTGGGGTATCCCATGGCATTCCCAGGTGGGCAGCGCCCGGCACATGGTGCGGGTGGTGAACATCTCCACTGGGAAGCCAGCACGGGGCGGCGCGGGCCGATTGCCCGGGCGGGTGCTGGCCCTTTGCTTCGATGCCCCCGGCCGCATCCTTTGGGCCGGTGACGACCGCGGCTCCGTCTCCTCCTTCCTCTGTGACCCTGGCACTGGTAGGTGGGAGCCATAGTGGGGGGGTTCTGTGGCAGCACAAGGTGGACCCCCACTTTGTAACCCCCCCCCCTTTTTGTCAGGGCGGCTGACAAAGGCCTCACGTGTGGTGGTGCAGGCAGGAGGCTCCATCACATCGCTCTCTGCACGGGCCTGGGCCAGTCGTGAGGCCCCTGACCCCTCACTGCTGGTTAACGCCTGCCCTGACCGCCTGCTGCTGTTCAGGTATTGAGGGGGACCCCCAAAATGGGGGGTTCACAATGGGGGGGGGGCTGAAAAGCAGCAGCTCACCCCGTTTTGTCCCCATAGGGTAGTGGAAGAGGAGGGCTCAGGAGCACCGGGGCTGCGGCTACGGCGCAGCTTCCCCACGAAGCACCGGGAGCAGCCCCTACGGAGCTGCTTCTGTCCCCTCATGTCCTTCCGGCAGGGAGCCTGTGTGGGTACGTGGTGGTGGTGCTGGTGATTGGGGTCCTGTTTGGGGGCACTGAGGAAGGGGAACGCATCCCAACACCCCCTCTTTACCCCTATCCCCCCGCAGTGACGGGCAGCGAGGACGCCTGCGTTCACTTCTTCGACGTGGGCCGCACGGCGCGAGCCACCGTTAACACCCTGCAGGGCCACGGCGGCGCCGTGCTCGCTGTTGCCTTCAACTGCGACGAGAGCCTCTTGGCCTCCAGTGATGCCACCGGCACCGTCATCGTGTGGCGCCGGCAGCATGCCTGACCCCCCCCCCCCTTTACCATGTGTGTGTGTCCCCCCACTTCACAGCACTGCACCCCTCTGTGTTCAACAAGCGTGTTTGCCCCGGCGCTGTGGGGCTCAGAAGAGGTACTTGCGGCAAGCAGCAGCCCCACACTTGCACTCGATACGGGCCCGGGCGCGGGGGGAGCCCCCCACTGCCAGCCCGAAGTTGGAGTCCATGCGGGTGCTCTCGGCGTCCACTGGGTCCACTGGGGGTGAAAGCACAATGAATGGGGTGCGGGATGTGGGGTTTGGTGGCCCCATAGCACCGGGGTGAGCGGGCTGAGGTGTGGGGCAGGGGTTGGGGGGCAGAGGGGGGCCGGTACCGTGCATGTTGTAGTCGAAGGTGAGCTCCTCGCCGGCGCGGATGAAGCGGGTGGCGAAGAGCGCGATGCGCGGGAGCCGCTCGTCCAGGTTCTCGATGAACACGTTGTACACCTGCAGGTTGGGGTCGCACTGCGCCCCGCCCACAACCGATGAAACCACGCCCCCCTCGCGATGCCATTGGATAAGAGCCCCACAGTGGGCGGTGCCAAAGCAAGCCTCACCCCTGTGACAGCTGAAACCACACCCCCCCCCCCCCCGCTGCTGGCCAATCACCCCCTTCCATTGAGGATACCGTGTCCCTGCAGTAGGCGGAGCCCCGAAAAGCCACGCCCCCAATCCTACGAAGCCCCACCCACTCCCACAGATAAGCCAACCATGTACCCACAGGCCCCGCCCTCGGCAGATGAAGCCCCTCCCACTTGCCCATCTTAAACGAGTATTTCCCATATTTAGCAAAGTTGCCCATACTAACAGAATTCCTGCACGTTTAGCAAATTTGCCCATATGAATTCACCCATATTAAGTGAATTCACACATATTAAACAATTTGCCCATTTAAGCAAATTCGCCCATATGAAGCGAATTCACCCATATGAAGCAAATTCGCCCATATTAAGCAAATTTGCCCATACAAAGCAAACTTGCCCATATGAAGCAAGTTTGCCCATATTAAGGGAATTCACCCATATTAAGGGAATTTGCCCATTTAAGCTAATTTGCCCATATGAAGCAAATTCGCCCATATGAAGCAAACTTGCCCATATTAAGCAAATTTGCCCATTTAAGCAAACTAGCCCATATGAAGCGAATTCGCCCATATAAGCAAATTTGCCCATGTGAAGCGAATTTGTCCATGTGAAGTGAATTTGCCCATATAAGCAAACTTGCCCATATGAAGCGAATTCACCCATCTGAAGCAAATTTGCCCAAATGAAGTCTGTATAAAACGAATTCGCCCATATAAGCAATCTTGCCCATATGAAGCGAATTTGCCCATATAAAGCAAATTTGCCAATTTAAGCAAATTTGCCCATATGAAGCAAATTCGTCCATATGAAGCGAATTTGCCCATTTAAGCGAATTTGCCCAAATGAAGCGAATTTGCCCATATTAAGGGAATTCGCCCATTTAAGCAAATTTGCCCATAAGAAGTGAATTCACCCATATGAAGCGAATTTGCCCATATGAAGTCAATTCACCCATATTAAGTGAATTTGTCCATATTAAGCAAATTTGCCCATATGAAGCGAATTTGCCCAAATGACACAATGTTTGCCCATATGAAACGAACTCACCCATATTAACCAAACTTGCACATATGAAGGGAACTCACCCATATTAACCAACCTTGCCCATATGAAGGGAACTCACCCACATTAACCAACCTTGCCCATATGAAGGGAACTCACCCACATTAACCAACCTTGCCCTTACCAATCCACCTCCTGCCCCCCCCTCACTCACGCTGTGATTGACGAAGTGGGAGATGTTGCCGTAGTGCGCCGCGTCCACCGTGTACACGTCCTCCACGTAGTCCAGGTCGAAGAGATACGTCGCTCCTTGCCGGTCGTAAACCTGCCCCCGGCGCTCCGCCTCCTCCGACGTGATGATCTGGGGCAGATCCCATTAACCACCACCCATTCAACACCCCCCCCCCCCCCCCAATGTCCCCATTGCCACCTCTCACCTCCCCAACGTACTCCATGACGAAGCTGTTCTTGCGGATGCGCTCCAGGGTGCGGACGCCCCACCCGCGCCCGTTGCCGGTGCGGAAGATGCAGAGGTCGTAGCGGATGCCCTTCTGCACCACGCGGTTGGGGCAGTCGGCGCCGCAGCGGCACCGCGAGTTGCACTCGTAAATGGGGAGCCCCGCTCGGATCCGCACCTGACCCTCCTCGTTGTAGGCGAACTTGTTGTGGGAAGCACCGGGGCAACAACCGCCCGCCGCCTCCGCCATGCAATCCTGACACTCGCAGCCCACAGCCACCGGTGTCAGGGTGACGCCGGGCCCCACCTTGTACTCGTTGATGTAAACGAAGTCCCGGGGGGGCCCGTGCAAGTCCACCTCGTTTTCCACCCTGATGCGGCCCCGGTGGCTGCGGGTGCTGTTGAGGAGCTGCTCCCAACGCTGCAGCGCCCGGCGCTGCTCTGCCTTTTGCATCAGGTAGGAAGCAACGCGAGCGGGAAGCCCCCGAGGGCCGGGCTCCACCGGGCCTCCAGGGGCACGGGCCAGGTCCTGATGGAGCTGCTTCAACAACCCCCGGCAACGCAGGTTCTTGCGGGGCTCCCACGAGTTGGCGGCCTCGGGGTATCCCTTCCACTTCACCAGGTAGAACTCCTCGTTCTATGGGAGGCAGGGATTAAAGTGGGGGGGTCCCTATATGGGGGGAAGGGGGTTAAAAAGGGGGGTTTTATAGGGGGGGGTTCGGCTCACCCGCACTCGTTTGTAGTCGCAGAGGTACTCGACCTCGAAGTCGCCCAGGTTGCGGCGGGTGATGCCGAGGGCCCGGCACCGCAGCTGCTCCCGGCGGCACAGGTCCTGCAGCTGCGGCCATGAGGACTTGCAGCACACGGAGCACGATGGGGCTGCGGGGCGGAACCGCGTTCATGGCGGGGAACGGGGAGCAACGGAACGCAACGGAACGGAACGGAACGGGGAGAAACGGAACCGACATCACCCCCCCTCCCCCTCCCCCCCCGCCGTGGTCCCGGTTCGGTCCTGGTTCGATTCCGTTCCCCGCCTCCCCCCCCCCTTATCTCCCGCCAAACGATCGCCGCGCGCCCCGCGGGAAGAAAGCGCGCCAAGCGGCGCCAGTTCCCGCCGCCGCTTCCCGCCACCCCGCGCGAACCTTTTAAATTTTCCGCCATTTTCCGCCGCCGCCGAAGTTTTTTTTTTTTTTTCTCTTCCTTTTCCTTTTTCCTCCTCCTCTTTTTTTTTTTTTAAACCCCCCGCCCCCTCTTCCTTTTTTTTTTTTTTTTTAACCTCACTTCCGCCCGTCGGGCAGCGCGCGCGCGGGGAGGAGGAAGGGGGGGGGCGGGACTTCCCCTTCCTCCCATTGGCTCTTCCAACCAGCTTTTCCCTTATTGGCTGAAACGCCGCTTCATTTGCATAACGCCCGTCAACCCCCGCGCTACGGTGGCTTGAAGGTCATTAAAGCGCTCATTAAGCCGGTTATTAATTAGTGAGGCCTTTATTGCATGTGTGGAGCAGCGGATGGGGGGGGGGGGAGCCCCTCGGGGGGTCCAGCTTGGAGCGGGTATGGGGGGGCTCAGTCGTCCCTGTTGGGGAAGGGGGGGGGGTCAGAAACGTTAATTAGAGCGTTAATTAGCGCGTTAATTAGCGCGTTAATGAACGCTTGGGGACGGCAGCGCCATTGTCAACGCATTGAGATGGAGCCCTGGTGTTAAACCCCAGTTTAACGTTGGGATGAGGCCATGGGGGATGATGGGGAACGCTGGGACCGGGAGCACTCACCAGTGTGGGTACTGGATGGGTCTGGTCCCTTCCCGATGGGAGCGATGTCCCGGTGAGGCTGGGACCAGTGGCTGGTGGAACTGGGAGCGGAGCATCCAATGGGGCTGGCAAAGGCCTGGATCTGGACTGGGAGTGGTGGTGCTCAACTGGGAGCACTGGGGTCCGCACTGGGGTCCTGCTTTAGCTCAGGCTGGCATTTAACTGGGAGCCTTAGAGTCCATACTGGGAGCACTGGTCCATAATGGGACCTGACTTGGAGAGCACTGGCTCAGTCCATACTGGGAAGTGCAGGGACCGTACTGGGATCATGCTTAAAGAGCTGCGGCTCAGGCTGGAATCGGACTGGGAACGCTGGGGTGTGAACTGGGAGCACTGGTCTGTACTGGTGCGCTCAGGGCCCAGGGCTGTCCCCGTCCCCTCCTCGCACCAGCAGCACCGGCCCCAGCCCCTCTGTCAGCACCTCCAGGAACTCGAGGTCTGCCCCATGTCAAGGACCTGCCCCACAGCTCCATGGGTGCTCCAGTGACCCCTCTGCCCCACAGCTGCCCCAGTGACCCCTCTGCCCCATGGCTGCCCCACAGCTACCCCACAGACCCCTCTGCCCCACGGCTGCCCCAGTGACCCCTCTACCCCATGGCTACTCCACAGCTACGCCAGAGCCCCCTCTGCCCCATGGCTGCCCCCCACAGCTACCCCACAGCCCCCTCTGCCCCACAGCTCCCCAGTGACCCCTGTGTCCCATGGCTGCCCCCACAGCTACCCCAGAGCCCCCTCTGCCCCACAGCTCCCCCAGTGACCCCTCTGCCCCATGGCTGCCCCCCACAGCTACCCCACAGCCCCCTCTGCCCCACAGCTGCCCCAATGACCCCTCTGCCCCATGGCTGCCCCACTGACCCCTCTGCCCCCAGTTTTCCCCACTGTCCCCCCCCGTTTCTCCCCCACCCTCCCATCCCCCCACTCCTCCAGGATACAGTTATCGAGGGGCCGTGGCCCGCGGGGGGGGGGGGGGGGCAGGTCCAGCAGCACCAGGCGGGCCCCCCCCGAGTGCCGCCCCAGGACCTCGTTGAGCCGCTCGGCCGCGTGCATGCGCCGCACGTTCCCCCTGACCGGCAGGAACCAGTGCGACCAGTTGGGACCAGTGCGACCAGTTGGGACCAGGACACCCCCCCCCCCATGGCCCTGACCCTCCCTGTGCCCCCCAAACCAGTATGGGATGGTGCTGTCCCAGTATCGCACTCGGGACCCTTCCAGTACATCCCAGTATGGCCCTGAGCACCCTCCCAGTGCATCCCAGTATGGCCCTGAGTGCCCTCCCAGTATGGTTCTCAGCACTCTCCCAGTACATCCCAGGATGGATCTGAGCACTCTCCCAGTGCATCCCAGTATGGCCCTGAGCACCCTCCCAGTACACCCCAGTATGGCCCTGAGCATCCTCCCAGTGCATCCCAGTATGGCTCCGAGTGCCCTCCCAGTATGGTTCTCAGCACCCTCCCAGTACATCCCAGTATGGCCCTGAGCGCCCTCCCAGTGCATCCCAGTATGGCCCTGAGTGCCCGCCCAGTATGGTCCTCAGCACTCTCCCAGTATGGCCCTGAGCATCCTCCCAGTACGGCCCTGAGCATCCTCCCAGTACATCCCAGTATGACCCTCAGCACCCTCCCAGTACATCCCAGTATCGCCCTGAGCACCCCCCCAGTACATCCCAGTATGGCCCTGAGCACCCTTCCAGTGCATCCCACTATGGCCCTGAGCAGCCTCCCAGCGCATCTCAGTATGACCCTCAGCACCCTCCCAGTACATCCCAGTACTCCTCAGCACCCTCCCAGTACATCCCAGTATGACCCTCAACACCCTCCCAGTACATCCCAGTCCCCCCCCAGTGCCGCTCACGGGCTGGGTCCTCGCCGTGGGAGTCCTCCCTCTTCCTCCTCCTCCTCTTCCTCCCCGGCTGTGCTGGGGGCCTGTGACGGGGGGGTGGGGCATCGGTCTGACGTCACGGATGACATCACCACTGGGGGCGTGGCGGGTGAGTGACGTCACGTGTGAGAGGTCACGTGACATCACGGGTGAGGTCACCTGAGCCTGCCGCATCTGGCGCAGCATCTGGGAGCGCTGCTCCATCATCAGCGTCCGCTCGTAGGTGTAGGCGGAGACGTCGCTGTCGTGCTGCCGGGGGGGGAGCGGGGGTTCAGGGGTGACAGCGGGGCAAGGGGGGGGCACTGAGGCAGTGGGGTGATGCCACAGCATAGGGTGACACCGTGGTGTGGGGTGACAGCAAGGTATTGAAGGGGTGACACCGTGGTGTGGGGTGACAGCAGGGTATTGATGGGGTGACACCGTGGTGTGGGGTGATGCCATAGCATGGGGTGACACCATGGTGTGGGGTGACAGCAAGGTATTGATGGGGTGACACTGTGGTGTGATGGCATAGCATGGGGTGACAGTGAGGCAATGGGGTGATGCCATAGGTTTGGGTGACACCGTGGTGTGGGGTGACAGCAGGGTATTGATGGGGTGACACCGTGGTGTGGGGTGACGCCCATAGGTTTGGGTGACACCATGGTGTGGGGTGACAGCAAGGTATTGATGGGGTGACACTGTGGTGTGATGGCATAGCATGGGGTGACACTGAGGCAATGGGGTGATGCCGTAGCATGTGGTGACAGTGAGGCAATAGGGTGATGCCATAGCATGGGGTGACAGTGAGGCAATGGGGTGATGCCATAGGTTTGGGTGACACCATGGTGTGGGGTGACAGCAAGGTATTGATGGGGTGACACTGTGGTGTGATGGCATAGCATGGGGTGACACTGAGGCAATGGGGTGATGCCATAGCATGTGGTGACAGTGAGGCAATAGGGTGATGCCATAGCATGGGGTGACAGTGAGGCAATAGGGTGATGCCATAGCATGGGGTGACACCGTGGTGTGGGGTGATGCCATAGCATGGGGTGACACTGTGGTGTGGGGTTATGCTGTAGCATTGGGTGACATTGTGGTGTGGGGTGGCAACAAGGTATTGATGGGGTGACACCATGGTGTGGGGTGATGCCATAGCATTGGGTGACACCGTGATGTGGGGTGATGCCATAGCATGGGGTGACAGTGAGGCAATGGGGTGATGCCATAGCATGGGCTGACACTGAGGCAATGGGGTGATACCATAGCATGGGGTGACAGTGAGGCAATGGGGTGATGCCGTAGCATTGGGGTGACACCAAAGTGGTGCTGCAGTGAAACTGAGGTGTTTTGGGGGTATCAGGTGTTGTTGGGGTAACAATGAGGTGGTGTTGGGGTGACAGTGAAGTATTGATGGGATGACACTGAGCTGTTAATGGGGTGACACCGCAATGTTGATGAGGTGATGCTGTGGCGTTGATGGGGGGACACCATGCTGGTGTTGGGGTGATGCTGTGGTGTTGATGGGGTGACACTGTGGTGGTGTTGGGGTGACACTCTGGTGTTGATGGGGTGATGCTGTGGTGGTATTGCGGTGATGCTGTGGTGTTGATGGGGTAACACCACAGTGTTAATGGGCGATGTTGTGGTGTTGATGGGGGTGACACCACAGTGTTGATGAGGTGACACTGTGGTGTTGATGAGGTGACACTGTGGTGTTGATGGGGGTGATACCATGGTGGTGGTGTGGTGATGCTGTGGTGTTGATGGGGTGACACCACAGTGTTAATGGGTGATGCTGTGGTGTTGATGGAGTGATGCCGTGGTGTCGATGGTGTGATGCTGTGGTTTTGATGGGGGTGATACCATGGTGTTGATGGGGTGACACCACAGTGTTAATGGGGTGATGCTGTGGTGTTGATGGGGTGACACCACAGTGTTAATGGGGTGACGCTGTGGTGTTGATGGGGGTGATACCATGGTGTTGATGGGGTGACACCACAGTGTTAATGGGTGACGCTGTGCTGTTGATGGGGTGATACCATGGTGTCGATGGGGTGACGCTGTGGTGTCAATGGGTGCCGCTGTGCCGTTGCCAGGCTCTCACCAGCTCCACAACGTGGGTCTGTGCAGGCAGCCCCCGGCGCCGGGCCACGGCCTCCAGCAGCCGCCGCAGCCTCACGCTGTTGTCCTCCAGCAGCGCCACCGTGAACAGCCGCACGCAACACCCGCGCCAGGCCTGCGCAGCCCCGGCGTTCACTGGGGTCACCCCACAGCGACCGCCCCATAGAACCTGCCCTACAGCACTCATTGCTTGCAGAATCATCTACCTGACCCTCAGCACCCCATAGCCCTCCCCAGCACCCTCTATGCTCCAGCACCCACCCCACAGCCCCCCCAGCACCCCATAACCCCCCATCACACACTGCAGCACCCCATAGCCCTCCCCAGCACCCTCTATGATCCAACACCCACCCCATAGCTCTGCCCAGCACCAACCCCACAGCCCCCAGCACCCCATAACCCCCCTATCACACACTGCAGCACCCCATAGCCCTCCCCAGCACCCTCTACACTCCAGCACCGACCCCACAGCCCCCCCAGCACCCCATAACCCCCCATCACACACCGCAGCACCCCATAGCCCTCCCCAGCACCCTCTATGCTCCAGCACCAACCCCACAGCCCCCAGCACCCCATAACCCCCCTATCACACACTGCAGCACCCCATAGCCCTCCCCAGCACCCTCTACACTCCAGCACCGACCCCACAGCCCCCCCAGCACCCCATAACCCCCTATCACACACCGCAGCACCCCACATCCCTCCCCAGCACCCTCTATGCTCCAGCACCCACCCCATAGCTCTGCCCAGAACCAACCCCACAGCCCCCCCTGGCACCCCATAATCCCCCTATCACACACTGCAACACCCCATAGCCCTTCCCAGCACCCCATAACCCCCTATCACACACCGCAGCACCCCACATCCCTTCCCAGCACCCTCTATGCTCCAGCACCCACCCCATAGCTCTGCCCAGCACCAACCCCACAGCCACCCCCTCCAGTACCCCATAACCCCCCTATCACACACTGCAGCACTCCATAGCCCTTCCCAGCACCCTCTATGCTCCAGCACCAACCCCACAGCGCCCCCCAGCACAAACCCCATAACCCCCCTATCACAAACTGCAGCACCCCATAGCCCTTCCCAGCACCCCATAACCCCCCTATCACACACCACAGCACCCCATAGCCCTTCCCAGCACCCCATAACCCCCCTATCACACACCACAACACCCCATAGCCCTTCCCAGCACCCCATAACCCCCCTATCACACACTACAACACCCCATAGCCCTTCCCAGCACCCCATAACCCCCCTATCACACACCGCAGCACCCCATAGCCCTTCCCAGCACCCTCTGCACTCCATCACCCACCCCATAGCTCTGCCCATCACCAACCCCACAGCCCCCCCCAGTACCCCATAAACCCCCATTACACACCACAGCACCCCATAGCCCCCCCCAGCACCCCATAACCCCCCTATCACACACCACAGCACCCCATAGCCCTTCCCAGCACCCTCTGCACTCCATCACCCACCCCATAGCTCTGCCCATCACCAACCCCATAACCCCCCCCAGTACCCCATAACCCCCCTATCACACACCACAGCACCCCATAGCCCCCCCCAGCACCCCATAACCCCCCTATCACACACCACAGCACCCCATAGCCCTTCCCAGCACCCTCTGCACTCCAGCACCCACCCCATAGCTCTGCCCATCACCAACCCCATAACCCCCCCCAGTACCCCATAAACCCCCAACACACCCCACCCCACCCCATAGCCACCCCCCCAGCCCCACATACCGGGTGCTGCCGCAGCAGGAGGGGCAGCAGGGTGAGCAGTCTCCCATCTCCCACCACCCACCACACATCCAAGGTGCCCCCCGGCGCCCCGCTCCCCAGCGGCCCCTTGGTCACCAGCAACGCGCGCCCACCGGACCCCGCCACCCGCAGCAGCTCTGGAATGGGGGGGAAAAGGTGAAATTGAGGAGTTGGGGGGCACAGACCCCCCCATACCCCCCCATACCCCCCCTGTACCCCCAACCTTACCCACGAATCTCCGTGCGGCCGCGGGGTCGTGGCGCCGGCGCCAGCCATGGGGCCAGCCCATGAGCACGGCGTTGGGGCGCAGGGCCCCCAGGCCGCAGCCCTGCACCAGCGCCGCCAGCCCCGGGCCCCGGCCCGGTGACACCAGCACCTGGACGAAGCCGCGGGCACCGGCGCCGGTCAGCTCCTCCCGCAGGGCCTGCAATGGAGGGGAAGGGGTCAGCGCTACGGGGGTACACATAGGGAGAGAGAGCTATAGGGAGCTGACCCCATAGGGAGAGAGATCTATAGGGAGCTGACCCCATAGGGAGAGAGATCTATAGGGAGCTGACCCCATAGGGAACCAGATCTATAGGGAGCCAATCCCATAGGGAACCAGATCTATAGGGAGCCAATCCCATAGGGAACCAGATCTATAGGGAGCCAACCCCATAGGGAACCAGATCTATAGGGAGCCAGTCCCATAGGGAACCAGATCTATAGGAACCCAACCCCATAGGGAGACAGATCTATAGGGACCCAATCCCATAGGGACCCCCCCATCCATAGAGACCATATCCCACAGGGACCCAGCCCCATAGAACCCCCATCTATAGAGACTCAATCCCATAGGAAATCCTCATACATATACACCCAATCCCATAGGGACCCAACCCATTCAGGACCCAGCCGCATAGGACCCCCCATCCATAGAGACCCAATCCCATAGGAAACCCTATTCCATAGACACCCAATCCCATAGGGACCCCAACCATAGAGATCCAGCCGCATAGGACCCCCCATCCATAGACACCCAGCCCCATAGGGACCCCCCATCCATAGAGACCCAATCCCATAAGGAACCCCCATCCATAGAGACCCAATCCCATAGGGACCCAATTCCATAGGGACCCAGCCCCATAGGACCCCCCATCCATAGAGACCCAATCCCATAGGGACCCAATTCCATAGGGACCCAGTCCCATAGGACCCCCCATTCATAGACACCCAGCCCCATAGGGACCCAGCCCCATAGGGACCCAGCCCCACACGACCTCACCTGCTCTGCGGCGCGGGCCCGGGGCTGGTCCCGGGGCAGCTCCCCGGTGATCACGGTGCCGACGACCGTGAGCCCCTTCCCGGCCTGGAGCTGCGCCGCCAGCGCCAGCACCTGCGGCTGCGTCGCCCTCAGCTCCTCATCCAGCTTCAGCAGCACCAGGAGCTGCGGCCTGCGGGCACGGGGAGGGGGTGAGCGGCCCCCATCCATCCCCATCCCCATCCCCATCCATCCCCATCCCCATCCCCATCCATTCCCATCCCCATCCCCATCCATCCCCATCCCCATCCATCCCCATCCCCATCCCCATCCATCCCCATCCATCCCCATCCCCATCCCCATCCATCCCCGTCCATCCCCATCCCCATCCCCATCCCCATCTCCACCCCCATCCCCATCCCCATCCATCCCATCCCCATCCATCCCCCTCCCATCCCCCTCCCATCCCATTCCCATCCCATCCCCATCCCATCCCCATCCTAATCCCATCCGATTCCCATCCAAATCCCCATCCCATCCCATCCCCATCCCCATCCCATCCCCATCCCCATCCCATCCCCATCCCATCCCCATCCCATTCCCATCCCATTCCCATCCCATCCCCATCCCATCCCCATCCCATCCCCATCCCATCCCCATCCCAATCCCATCCCATCCCATCCCCATCCCATCCCCATCCCCATCCCCATCCCATCCCCATCCCATCCCCATCCCCATCCCCATCCCATCCCCATCCCATCCCCATCCCCATCCCCATCCATCCCATCCCCATCCCCATCCATCCCCATCCATCCTCATCCATCCCCATTCATCCCCATCCCATCCCCATCCATCCCCATCCATCCCCATCCCATCCCCATCCCCATCCCCATCCCCATCCCCGGTGCTGTCTCTTAGGGCTCAGCATCAGGGACTTCATGGATGATGTGGATGAGCAAGGGCAAGGCCAGGGGAGGGCATGAGGATGAGCAGGGGTTGGATCAGCTCCCATAGGAGCCAGGCTGAGGACATTGGGGCTGGAGGAGAGAAGCTGCGAGGAGAGCTCAGAGCAGGTTCCAGGCTCTGAAGGATGCTGGGGAGGGACCTGCATGAGGGACTCGATAGGACAAGGGGTGATGGGGTCAGACTGGGACAGGGGAGATTGAGACTGGATTGAAGGAAGCTCTTCCCTGTGAGGGTGCCCAGGGGAGCTGTGGCTGCCCCATCCCTGGCCAGGTTGGACACAGGGGCTTGGAGCAAGCTGCTCCAGTGCAAGGGGTCCCTGCCCATGGCAGGGGTTGGAGCTGGATGAGCTTTAAGGTCCCTTCAACCCAAACCATTCCATGATGATGATTCCATGCCCGAGGGCACCCTCAGTGAGTCTGCAGCTGACACCAGGCTGGGTGGGAGCTGGACAGGCTGCATCCATGGGGCTGTGCCAATGGGGTGAGGTTCAGGTCCTGCACTTGGGCTACAACAACCCCCTGCAAGGCTCCAGGCTTGGGGTTTGGGGAGGAGCAGCTGGAAACTGCCCATGGGAAGGGACCCGGATTGATGGAGCTGAGCATGAGCATCCTGGCCTGGCTCAGCACCAGTGCAGGGGCAGGGACTGGGGAGGCTGCACCTCAAGTCCTGGGTTCAGCTCTGGGGCCCTCACTATAAGAGGGACATTGAGGGGCTGGAGTGGGGCTAGAGAAGGGCAATGGGGCTGGTGCAGGGCCTGGAGCTCAAATGTGATGGGGAACAGCTTGGGGGGTTCAGAAGGCTCAGGGGGGACCTTGAGCTCCCTACAAGTGCCTGACAGGAGGATGGAGCCAGGAGGGGGTGGTCTCTGCTCCCAATGGATGGGATAAGAGGAACCAGCCCCAAGCAGCACCATGGGGAGGTTTAGATGGAGCTGAGGACCAACCCCTGCCCCAGAGGGTGCTCAGGCATTGGAACAGGCTGCAGGCACCGTCCCTGACGGTGCTCACACCCCATGGAGACGATGCCTCAGTGCCATGGGGCAGTGGTGGCCTCAGCAGTGCTGGGGAGCGGTTGGACTGGATGAGCTGAAAGGGCTTTTCCACCCCGGTTGCTCCTGCGACCCTATTGGATGATTCTGTGCCCCACAGCTGCCCCACACATCGCCCCATAGCGCTCACCTCCAGCTCGCCGCGGGCGGCCGCCCGTCCTCCAAGCGCAGGAGTGCAAACCGTGCTGCACTGAGCGACAGGCCCCGCAGGCCCTCACCCCATTCACTCTGTGCCCTGTTAACAGGGAGATGGGGAGGAGATGGGGGACCCCAAAACCCACATGGGACCCCCCCCTCCAAACATGTACCCCGCTTACCCCCGGTACTCCAAGTACTTGTAGGCAGTGGCACCGATGCCAAGGGCCAGCAGGCCACAGTACCAGCAGGCAACAAGCATCAGTGCCAGGCATAGCCCTGCGCCTGCCAGTGATGCTGCCCTGTGGATGGAGGGGGGGGTTTTAGGGTTTATTATTCTTCAATGATGTCCTAAAGGTGCTTCAATGATGTCCTAAAGGTGCTTCTTTTTAAAGAAACCAACTATAGGAACTCAATATGTTCCTATGCAATTTCCTATCCTATTTCCTCTACTCTGGTTTAACACTTTGGCAGTTCTTTCCAGGAGCAAAGAAAGACATTTTTAATGGAGATAACATGAAGAAAAACCCAAATTTCAGAGCTTTTAGTTGTGTCCTCACAGCTAGTGTAAAATGCTGTGTGGACATTTGCAGTTAGTGAAATATCCCATAGGAAATGTCTAGAGAACATTTAAGTGTGTGCTACCTGACAGGTATGTATGCATATTGTACACACATGGCAGGGGTGTGTGTACCTGCCTAGTCTATGTACATGTATTTATTTTCATACACATGCACATACATGTTGATATAAAATTATGCTTTTTATGAAAAATTATACTTCTGTCACCTGTTATTATCATATTTGCATTATTTAGGGTTAGCTAACGTGAGGGTCTATATATAGGGCCTGTGTCTATTACACATACTGTTGTTTAAATGGAACTATTAACACTGAAAGTGTTTGCAGCCTCTCCTTTTGGACCTGGTTGATTTTTGTTATGCAGAAATTGATGCTACTTTTGAGTTTTCCTAATGAAATTATTAATATCAATCAGATTAGATTGGCCATAAGGAAGGAGATGTGGGGGTGCAAGGTAGGGGGGGCTCACCAATGATAGAGGCGACAACGGGGGCTCCATCCTGGGGTGGGCAACAACCCTTGAAGGGCACAGGCCAGGTTCAAGCCCAGGTAAGAGGTGAGCCAAAAGCTGTTAATGAATGAGAATTGGGTGATGCGGTGTGACGTCATCATGATGTCATTGGGGGGGTGATGGGGAGGGGAAAGGGGGTGCATGAACACACACACGGACAGGACGGGTGACAGGAGGTCAAGGGAACCCAAGAGGACACCGAGTTCAGCCACGGTCACCGTTGCTGCCAATGGCCAGAGGCGCCCGTGACCCAGTGCCTGTGGGGACAGAGGTGGTGAGGGGGTGACAGCACCGGGGACAGCACTGGGGACACTGGGTACTCACGTGTGGCAATGGGAGGGCACGGGTACGGGCCAGGCCCCGCAGCAACCGGCTGCCCCCCAGCAGCGCCTGCAGCCCGGCCCCTGCTGCTGACAGCACGGCCCCAGCCAATGGTACCCATGGGGACGGCCATGAAGCCACCCCGGATACTGGTGTCCCCCGTAGGGATGCTCCGAACCTGGGGGGGGGGAATAGGGGGACGTTACAGGTAGAACCCAAGCACACCACTGAGACATCATGGACACTTAGGGAACACTGGGAATTCCCTTAGAGACCCCCCAGAACCCACTGGGACATCCCCAGGGACCCCATTGGGATGCTGGAGACCATGGGAACCCCCCCAGGAGACACCAATAGGGACAGTGGGGACCCCATGGGGACAATAGAGGTACCCCCAGGAACAACAGGGACCCCCAGCAACACCATCAGCGACCCCCCCCCCCCAAAGGCCATTGGGGACCCCCCACTCACTTGTCCCGCAGCAGCTGCCCCTCGATGGAGGCCCCCAGCAGCAGGGCCATGCTCAGGTCTGGGCTGTCAAGGAAATGGCCCCCCAAAAACCAGACCCCCCCCCAACTCCTCACCCCATACATGGGGTCTGTGCCCCATAACCCCCTCCCCCGGGCACCCCCCCCCCCCCAATCCAGATGCTGGGGTCCCCCCCATATGGGGCGGATGCAGGCCAAGGTGGTGGCCAGGGCAGCCCCCAGGCTCCCGGCTGGGATGGAGGTGGCGATGTCCCGCAGCTCCCCGCAGCGGCTGCAGCCCCACAGCACTCCTGCACCCCAAACAATGCCGTGAGCCCCCCGTTTATTCCATGGGGTGCCCCCCACGTGTCCCCTGGGAACCTGGAGGCTTGAACCTCGCCCCCCCAATACCTGGGTCCCCACAAAAAACAGGGTCCTGCATGGGATTCTGGCCCCTGCCCCAAACACCAGGGTTGTGTGTGTCGTCCCCCCCACCAAATATGTGGGTCACCCCCAAGACACCAGGGTCTCCCCCCCTCAAAGACCAAGATCCCCTTCAAATAACAGTGCCCCCCCCCAACCCCCAGAACACCAGGGTGCACCCCAAATAACTGCCCCCCCCAACCCCCTGGGTCCCCCTTGGAGTCTTGACCCCCCCCAAAACTCCTTGTTCCACACAATGTTGTGCCCCGCCCCCCAATGTCCATGGTCCCCACACTCACCCGAGGTGATGGGCAGGCTGAGCCCCAACAGCACCCCAAATGAGGAGTCATCATCATCCTCCTCTTCCTCACCCTCTGCTGCTCCCCCCCGCACCTCAATGGGACGGGGCCACAGGTTCTCTGTGGGGCAGGACACGCCTGGGTCCCTCCCACCCCTATCCCCATTCATCCTTAGGGTGTCCCCGCACCCCCCATCTGCCCCATATGGACTCACGTGCCAGCAGGTGGGTGCTGGGCCCTGGGAATGCCACCCGTGTGGCTCCTTGTGTACTGTTGTTGCCCATGCTGTGGGGCAGAGCTATGGGGCAAGGCTGAAGGCAGCCACCAGGCTGGGCAGGCAAGCAGAGCCTTAGGTGGGGGGGCAAGATGCCGGTTAGTGCGGTGCAGCACGGTGTTAGGGGGATAAAAAGGGGGTTTGGGGGGGGGGGAACACTCACGGGTGTGGGGGGCCCCCCATAATGGCAGCACGCAGGGCCCCTGCTTGCAGCCCCATCAGTGCCAGCACCAACCCAGCAGGGCCCAGTGTGGCGGCCGCAGTGGGGGCCGGGGTGGCGGCAGCCCCAAGCCCCAGCAGCGCCAGCAGCACGGCCCCGTATCCGCGCCCGTTGTTCAGGCGCCGAGTGCGGCCTCGGCCCGGTAGAACGGCGGCGCCCGGGGCCACGTAAACCTATGGGGAAGGAAAGGACGCGGCCAGCGGGGCACAGCGACCCCCGGAGGCCACGCCCACAACGGGAAGCCCCGCCCCATTTTATAAGGCCGCTCTCCTTTAAATCAGATCCCACCCCACACGCCCCCGGACCAATCCCGTTGCCCTGCCTGAGGAAACCACGCCCCTCTCCCGTAGCCACGCCCCCTCCCTTAAAGGGGCCGCGCCACGCACCAGCAGGATCTCGGCGGTGCCCAGGGCGGCGGCGGCAGCGGTGAAGGCGGCGCTGAGGAAGGCGCAGAGCCCCACGGCACCCCCGGCCTCGGGGCCCAGCGCCCCCGACAGCAGCCCCAAGGGGCAGCCCCCTGCCAGGCCCAACCGTGAGGTCAGCGGGGGGGTGGGGCTGGGAGGAGGGACTCCCCCCCCCCACTTTACCCTTTCACTTGTGGGCCCCCCCCAACTCACCGGGGTCAAGGCCATTGGTGGCAATGGCGCTCAGTGACACAGCGGTCAGCACAGCCTGGGGGGGGAGAGGGTTGTGACCTCTGACCTCCCGTTACCCTCGTGACCTTTGACCCCTTCCCATGGGTGACTTTGGGACATCCCTCATCACATTAGGACGTGACCCCTGGCCCCACACACACCCCAGACATGATCCTTGACCCCACGAGACCCCTAACATGACCCCTGACCCACACATGATCCTAGGACTTAACCCCTGACCCCACATACAGCCACTAACATGACCCCCAACCCATACATAACCCCAGGACATGACTCCTAACCCCACATTAAGTCCCGAACATGACCCCTGACCCACATACAGCCCCTAACATGACCCCCAACCCAGACATGACCCCAGGATATGAACTCAATCCCCCCAACAGCCCCAAACATGACCCCTGAACCAACATGGAGCCCCAGACATGATCCCTGACCCCAGGTGCAGCCCCTAACATGACCCCAGGACATGACTCCAGACCCCCCCCCACCCTCCAGCCCCAGATGTGACCCCTGACCCCACACACAACCTGTCATGACCCCAAACCAGCCATGACCCAGCTGTAACCCTACTCCAGGACCCCTGACCCCAGCCAGGACCCCACAGATGACCCTCTGACCCCAAACATGCCCCCTGACCCCACTCACGCAGGCACTGAGCAGGAAGCCGATGGTGCAGGCCTGCAGCACCCCTCCAGTGCCGACCACCCAGGGCAGCCGCAGCACCAGCACCAGCCCCAGCAGCGTCTGCAGCGCCGGCACCGCCACCCCCAACAGCGTCCCCAGCACCCGCCGCTGCATAAGGAGGGGACAAACACACACACATGGTCACGGTGTGGGGAGCACAGGGGAACCCCCTGACACCCCATGGCCACCCCATGGATGGTGCCTCACCGGTGTGTCACTGTCAGGGCTGAGGGCGCTGTACTGGGCGATGCGGCGCAGCATGGCAGGGACACGGGGACGGGTGGCCAGTTCCTCCTGTGTGGGAAACACGGGTGGTAATCATAGAATGGATTGGGTTGGAAAGGACCTTAAGATCATCCAGTTCCAACCCCCCTGCCATGGGCAAGGGACACCTCACACTAAACCATGGCACTCAAGGCTCTGTCCAACCTGGCCTTGAACACTGCCAGGGATGGAGCATTCACAACCTCCCCGGGCAACCCATTCCAGTGCCTCAGCACCCTTACAGTGAAGAACTTGCTCCCTATATCCAATCCAAACTCCCCTTAAGTTTTAACCCATTACCCTTTGTCCTGTCACTACAGTCCCTAATGAAGTCCCTCCCCAGCATCCCTATTAGCCCCAATTCAGGTACTGGAAGGCTGCTATGAGGTCTCCACGCAGCCTTCTCTTCTCCAGGCTGAACAGCCCCAACTTTCTCAGCCTATCTTCATACAGGAGATGCTCCAGCCCCTGATCATCCTCATGGTCTCCTCTGCACTTGTTCCAACAGTTCCATGTCCTTTTTATGTTGAGGACACCAGAACTGCACACATTCCGTGTCCTTTTTATGTTGAGGACACCAGATCTGCACACATTCCATGTCCTTTTTATGTTGAGGACACCAAAACTGCACACATTCCGTGTCCTTTTTATGGTGAGGACACCAGAACTGCACACATTCCATGTCCTTTTTATGTTGAGGACACCAGAACTGCACACATTCCATGTCCTTTTTATGTTGAGGCCACCAGATCTGCACACATTCCATGTCCTTTTTATGTTGAGTTCACCAGAACTGCACACATTCCATGTCCTTTTTATGTTGAGGACACCAGAACTGCACACATTCCATGTCCTTTTTATGGTGAGGACACCAGAACTGCACACATTCCATGTCCTTTTTATGTTGAGGACACCAGAACTGCACACATTCCATGTCCTTTTTATGGTGAGGACACCAGAACTGCACACATTCCATGTCCTTTTTATGGTGAGGACACCAGAACTGCACACATTCCATGTCCTTTTTATGGTGAGGACACCAGAACTGCACACATTCCATGTCCTTTTTATGTTGAGGACACCAGAACTGCACACATTCCATGTCCCTTTTATATTGAGGCCACCAAAACTGCACACATTCCATGTCCTTTTTATGGTGAGGCCACCAGAACTGCACACATTCCATGTCCTTTTTATGTTGAGGCCACCAGAACTGCACACATTCCATGTCATTTTTATGTTGAGGACACCAGAACTGCACACATTCCATGTACTTTTTATGGTGAGGACACCAGATCTGCACACATTCCATGTCCTTTTTATGGTGAGGACACCAGATCTGCACACATTCCATGTCCTTTTTATGGTGAGGACACCAGAACTGCACACATTCCATGTCCTTTTTATGTTGAGGACACCAGAACTGCACACAAGTCTCCAAGTGAGGTCTCACTCAAGGATCACCTCCTTGGACCTGCTGGTCATGCTCCTTTGGATGCAGCCCAGGATATGGTTGCTTTCTGGGCTGTTAGTGCACACTGAAGCCGGCTCATGTTCAGTTTCTAATCAATTAATGAGGATACCCTCATTAACAACCCGCCTTTAATTAACAGGCAGAGCTCACCTCGAAGAGCGCCAAGTGCCGGTCACACGCGAGCCCGGCCTCCGATGGGGCGCGGCGAGAGGAAGCCCCGCCCCTTTGGCGGGAGGGGGCGCGGCCAGAGAGAGGGGGCGTGGTCTGCTCGCTGGGGCTGGGGCTGGAGTCGGAGCGGGGGGGGCGGGAGCTGGACGGGGAGGGCGGCTCCGGGCTGCTCTCGGACGGGTCGGCCCCGCCCCCTCCGCGAGGCCCCGCCCCCGACATGGCCACTGCGAGGGGGGTGTGGGAAATGGGGAGAGAAGAGCCGGGATTGGGAGAGACAAGGACATTAATTCCAATAAACCGGTATTTTATGGGAAAACCGGCTCTGTTTTGGGAAAATAAAGCTATTTCTGTGGGGAAAAGTGCGATTTGGGGAAAAACAGGGATATTTTGACTCAAAAATCTGAATTTTTACACTTAAATAATGAATACCTCAAGAAGAAACAATAATTTTGGGGGGAAACACCTGCTTTAGTCCACTTTTAGGAAGAATGGCCGGTTTTGGGGAAAATAAAGCGAATTCTGAGGAGAAACAGCCAGTTTAAGGAGAAAGGTGGCCCTTTTTGTATCGAAACAAAGGATTTTTTAGGGAAAAATAACTATTTTGGGAAAGAATAGCTATTTCTGAGGGAAAAGAGACATTTTCAGGGGAAACATGGATTTTTATCGCCATTAAAACTGAAGCTTTACGGGAAATAGCCATATTTGGGGAAAATGCTGTTGTTTCTCAGGGAAAACATGGATTTACTCTTTTTCCCCCAGGAAAAAAAGGAATTTTTAGGGGAAAATTGTAATATTGGAAAAAAAAAAAACAACAGTTCTAAATAAACCCAACTATTTTAAAGGTAAAAATGGGTATTTTTCTACAGGAAAGGGGATTTTAGAGGTTTTTCTACAAGAAAGGGCATTTTAGAGGTAAAACAGCTGTATTTGGGGATCAAAGTGATTTCTGAGGGAAAATAAACAGTTTTGGGGCAAATTTGGACTTTTTTCCAGGAAAAAAAGGCAAAATAAGGGGGGAAATAGGCATTTTGGGGAGAAATCAGCTTTCCAAAATTCTGGGGTAGAAAATAGACATTTTTGTGGGGAAAAAAACAAACCAACTCAACCCCATACCCAAAACCCCACACATTTTAAGAGAAAACTTTTGGGGTAGGAGCAGTTACAGTGAAATAAAAGTTATTTTGAGAGGAAAATGGGAATTTTTGAGGGGAAAAGAGAGGTTTCGGGGCAGGACCCCCCAGTATGGGGGGGGAGAATCACATTCCAGGGAAAGCACTCTCCTTGCTATGGAAAAAAGACAATCCTGAAGGAAAAAACAGGTCATTTTGGGAGAAAAAGAGGCACTTTGAGGCAGAAAATACAGCTCTGGCCTGGAATGGGACATTATGGGAGAAATAAATGGTGTTTTGAGGAAAAAAACAAGGGGTTTTGGGAAAAAAAAGTCACTTTGAGGAAAAAACCTGAGACACTGAGGGGAAAAGGGATGCATTGAGGGAAAATGATGATCTGAGGGGAAAACCTGATGGATTTGGGGGTAAATGATGCTATAAGGGGAAAAAGGTACTGGGGTGGGGGGGATGCCTTGAGGGAAAATCAGGGCCTCTGGCCTCTGTTTTGGGCTAAAATGGGGCCATTTGCGGAAAAAACGATGCTCCCACCCCCACCTCCTGAGGAACCCACCTCCCTGGGTGTGTGTGTGGGGTTAAATCCACCATTTTGGAGCAAAACCCCCCGATTTCCGAGCTTCCCACCCCGCTCCCTTCTTACACCGCCCGCTTTTAGGGACAAAACGCCCCTTTTCTGGGCACATCCCAGCCTCCCCCCTTTTTGGGACCGATCTTTCTCGTTCCCTCCCCCACCCCCACCCTATTTTGGGTCTAAAAAACCCCATTTTGGGTCCGTTCTCCCGCCCTTTCCCCGACGTTTGAAGGCGGGAACGATCTTTACCTGAGGGGAGGGGGAGAGGGCGGGAATGGAGGGAGGGGTGTGCGCGCGCCCTCCACCACCGCCGCGTGACGTGCCGAGGCCACGCCCCACTCTCTGCCGCAGGGGCGTGGCCAATGGGAGGCGATGCCGGGGTTGTAGTCTGAGCGCTGATTGGGTGGGGGCGCTAGGGGCGGGGCTACGTGAAACAGGCGAGGTGTGGTCCTAATGCCCGCCCTCCCGCTCCCGTCCCCCCCCCCCTTCAAGACGCGGAGCCGAATGTGTCCCATGGGGTTTATTCCGCTATCGCCGGGGCCGGCCCCTCCGTTAAAGGAGAGGCCGTGCCTGCTGTGTGGGCAGGACTCCGAACCGCCGCTTCAACACCAGGCGGTGCCGGGAGAACTTGTCGTCGGGGGAGAACCGGGCCGGGTGGGCCGAGCGGGTGGGGTGCCCCCCCGGGGACACTTTCTGCGGGATGGAAGGAAGGAAGGAAGGGAAGGGGTGAGGCCGAGCCGTGCCGGGACCCCCGGAGCTTCCCCGGTCTCCCCTCCCCGGTACCTTCAGTGTGTAAACGCGCTCCCCACGCTCATCGGTGTAGCACTGCAGGAACATGGCGCCGCTGCCTTCGCCGCGCAGAGCACGATTGGAAAGAGTGGTGCTCGCGGGGCACCACGGGAAGGGCGGCGCGGGGTTTGATGGGAAATGTAGTCCAGGAAGCACACAGTGCGGAAGTGGCTCTCGCGAGCGCCAAGATGGCGGCGCCCATGCGGGACACACCTCAGTCACCATGGCTTCCATTGCCGCTTCGCCCCTCCCTTCCCCTCCACCACGTGACCGCGTTCTCATTGGTATTAGGGTGAACTGCTGCATCCCTATTGGCCTCCGCGGCGTCCTGCTCTCTGATTGGCCGCGATGGTTCACGTGACGAGCGGCGGTGAGGAGCGCGGCGGCCGCGCCGAAGGTACAAGTCGGGGGGGGGTGTGTGGTGGTCCCACGTTACCGAAACAACGGGGGCGGGGCTACCGAGGACCCGGAGAACTTCCGGGGCAACCGGAGGAGCTCCCGACACGGTTTCGTGTCTCCCGGTTGCGGTCCCGGTGTGTTTCCGGTGCTCCCGGTGCCGCCGCTGACCGCCTCCTTCCCGCAGGCCGAGGCGATGCCGCTGCCCGTGGCGCTGCAGTCCCGCCTGGCCAAGCGGGGCCTGCTCAAGCACGTGGAGCCCGGTAAGAACCGGGGAGGGGGGGGAACCCCTCCGGTACCGGGGAGGGGGCGTGGCCAGGCCGGCGAGAGGCGGAGCTGGAGTTGTCTGGGGGCGGGGTTATGACCATATAAGGCTTTTTGATGGGCGTGGCTATGTCCCGGCGGGAGCTGGGGGCTGGGCTGTGACCGTAGAAGGGTTGCAGTGGTGGGCGGGGCTAGGACCATAGAAGGGTTCCCTGGTGGGCGTGGTCATGTCCCAAGCTCCGCCCCCCTCCCGCAGAGCCGGAGGAGGAGATCATCGCCGAGGACTACGATGATGCCCACGTGGATTACGAGGCCTCGCGGCTGGAGGGGCTGCCCCCCCCTTGGTACAAGGTCATTGACCCGACCTGGTGAGACCCCCCCCCGGAGCCCCCCACCCTCCCGTGGGGCTACAGGGGCCATAGGGACCCTTGCCAGGGGCTATAGGGGCCATAGGGACCCTTGTCAGGGGCTATAGGGACCACAGGGACCCTTGTCAGGGGCTATAGGGACCATTGCCAGGGGCTGTAGGGGCCATAAGCACCCTTGCCAGGCGTTAGAGGAGCCACAGGGACCCTCTCCAGGGGCTGTAGAGCCCTTCCCAGGGGCTATAGGAGCCATAAGGATACTCTCCAGGGGCTATAGAGCACATAGGGACCCTCTCCAGGGGCTATAGGGGCCATAAGGACTCTCTCCAGGGGCTGTAGAGCCCTTCCCAGGGGCTATAGGGAGCCTCTCCAATAGCTATAGGGGCCATAGGGACTCTCTCCAGTGCTTATAGGAGCCATAGGGACCCTCTCCAGGGGTTATAGGGGCTATAAGGACCTTCTCCAGGGGCTATAGGGGCCATAGGTACCATCTCCAGAGGCTTTAGGGGCTATAAGGCTCCTCTCCAGTGGTTATAGGGACTCTAAGTACCTTTTCCAGGGCCTATAGGGACCTTTTCCAAGGGCCATAGGGACCCTCTTTAGGGATTATATAGGCCATAGGGACCCTGTCTGGGGGTTATAGGGTCTATAAGGACCTTCTCCAGGGGCTATAGGGACCCCCTCCAGGGGCTATAGGGCGCTATAGGTTCCTGTCACCCACAGTGGGCTGCCCTACTACTGGAACGTGGAGACCGACCTCGTGTCCTGGTTGTCCCCAAACGACCCCAACTCCGTCATCACCAAAGCTGCCAAGAGGCTCAAAGGGGCCCAGGGTGAGTCAATGGACGGGGGGACCCATGGACCCCCCAAAACCTCTGGGTTAGGGGGAGCAGGGAAGGTTTTGGGGGTGCCCCCCCCCTTTTCAATCCTGGTCCCCCCCATTTTGGCTCCAGTAGAGGCTGAGGAACCCCCCGAAAGGGGCTATGAGAAGGAGGAGCCCCCCCGGGAGCGGCGCTTCCATCGGCGTGAGGAGCTGGCACCGTACCCCAAGAGCAAGAAAGGTGCGTTTGGGGGTACCCCCCCTATGTGGGGGGGGTCCCCATCATTTTAAGGGCATCGGGTTCCCCTTCACTTAGGGGTTCCCCTCATTTTGGGGCAGTCGCCATTCATTTTGGGAGCTCCCTATTAATTTGGGGGGGTTCTTTGACTATGGGGAGGCCCCCTCATTTAAGGGGGGCGTCCCCATTGCTTTGAGGTTTCCCCTTCACTTCGGGCTCCCCCTTGGCTTGGGGGGGGTCCCCAACACTTTGTGGGCTCTTCCCTTCATTTGGGGGCTGCTGCCCCCCAACTTCACCCCACTCTGACCCCTATTCCCTCTCCCCCCCCCAAAAGGCAGCCGCAAGGATGAAGAACTGGACCCCATGGACCCCAGTGCCTACTCGGATGCCCCCAGGTACGTCCTGGAGCCATGGAATGGGGTTGGGAAGGGCCTGGAAGCTCCTCTAGGTCCAATCCACAGGGATAGCTCCCACTGGAGTGGATTGCTCCAAGCAGCACTGCCAGGGATGGGGCATCCCAGACCTTCTCCATTGAACCCATCCCAGTGTCCACATGGGGTTGAAATCCCTTAGATCCAACCAAAGCATCCCTTGTTCCATGTCCCATCCCAGTCCCTGATGGAGAATCCCCCTCCAGCATCCTTGTACCCCCCTTCTGACCCTGGAAGCCTTCTCCATCCTTCCCTCTGGATCCCATTCCCACCCTTTGGATCCCATCCCAACCGCACTCAGTTCCTTTAGGGCTGGGTTGATGTCATTGGGGGGGGCTCTTTGTGATCCATTCCCCCCCCTCCCTTCTCTTTGCCCCCCCCCCAGGGGGACGTGGTCCACGGGGCTCCCCAAGAGGAACGAAGCCAAGACCGGGGCGGACACCACGGCCGCGGGGCCCCTGTTCCAGCAGCGCCCGTACCCGAGCCCCGGTGCTGTGCTCCGGGCCAATGCTGAGGCCTCGCGGAGCAAGGACTGACCCCAACCCCCAAAACAGCCTCTGGGACCCCCAAAAACCCCTTTGGGACCCCAAAAAACCCCTTTGGGACCCCAAAAAACACCTCTGGGACCCCCAAAAGCCACTTTTGGGTCCCCAAAACCACCATTGGGACCCCAAAAACCACATTTGGGACCCCAAAAAACACCTCTGGGACCCCCAAAAGCCACCTTTGGGTCCCCAAAAACCCCTTTGGGACCCCAAAAAACACCTTTGGGACCCCAAAACAACCTCTGGGAACCCCAAACCCACATCTGGGACCCCAAAAGCCACCTTTGGGAACCCCCAAAACACGGCTGGAACCCCAAAACCATCTTTGGGACCCCCCAAAACACCTCTGGGACCCGGAAAACATCTCTGGGGCCCCAAAAACCACATTTGGCACCCAAAAAGCCACCTCTGGGAACCCCAAAACAACCTCTGGGACCCCAAAACCACTTCTGGGATCCCCCCAAACCCCCCCCAGACCCCCTCAAATCACTGCCCTCAGTGGAATAAAGGTGCTGAAGACCCAAGGGGTGCGGAATAGGAACGGGATATGGGGGGGGGGTATTGGTGCACAAGGGTCCTGCTTGGGCATGGGGGGGGGCTTTGTGGGTCCATGTGGGGGGGCACAGGGGGGGGTCCCAATGCCTCCCATTATAACCCAGTGGCTGCAGAGCACCCCCCCCCCCCAACCCAGTAGCCAATGGTCCCACCCGCACCGCGCCCCCCCCCGGGGGACTCTGACGTCATCGCGGCTGTGACTCACCCCCTCCCCCCCCGCCCCACATCTGGATTCGCTCAACAGCTGGAGGGGGGGAGGGGGGGGGGAAACCAACCACCCCCCCTCCCCCCCCCAATGGAGCCGGGTCTGGGGGTTCAGCACCCGCTGTTTATTGCCCCTCCCCCACCCGGGGGGGGGGGGTGTGGGGTAAGGGAATGGGGGAGGGGCGGTAATCCCAGTTTGGGGGGGTCTCTCCCTGTTTGCCCCCCCCTCCCATCAACCACAGGCATTGGGGGGTGCCCGGGGGAGCCCCCTGAGCCCCCCCAGTGCTCCCAGTAGCACCAGTGCGGCTCCCAGTGCCACCGGTAGTGCCAGGAGCAGCCCCCCCCCGAGGGCCCCGCGCCTGGGAGGGGAGGGGTTGGAGGGTTGGGGGGCGGGTGGGGGGGTAGTGAGGGGTGAATGGGGTTTAGGGGGGGTATTGGGGGGGGGCTTGAGCCTGGGGAGGGCAACTGGGGGGGTAATGGGAGTATCTGGGGGGGCAAATGAGGGGGTAACTGGGGGGGCATCTGGGGGGGTATTGGGGGGGACAACTGAGAGGGTAACCGGGGTATCTGGGGGGGTAACTGGGGTATGGGGGGGGAACTGTAGAATGGGTATCGGGGGGGGCTTGGGGGGATAACTAGAGGGTAACCGGGGTATCTGGACGGGGGGGGTAACTGGGGTATCGGGGGGGGTAACTGGGGTATCGGGGGGGGCATTGGGGGGGATAACTGAGAGGGTAACTGGGGTATCTGGAGGGGTAACTGGGGTATCGGGGGGGGTAACTGGGGTATCTGGGGGGGCATTGGGGGGGATAACTGAGAGGGTAACCGGGGTATCTGGATGGGTAATGGGGGGGGTAACTGGGGTATTGGGGGGGGCAACCGAGGGGGTAACGGGGGTATCTGGAGGGGTAACTGGGGGGGTAACTGGGGTACCTAGGGGGGTATCTGGGATAATGGGGGGGGAGCGCTTGGCTGTGGGGGGGGAAACTGGGGGTAACTGGGATGTAAGGGGGGCAACTGGAGGGTCCTGAGAGGTGGGGGGAGCACTTGGGGGGTCTCCAGCCCTGGGGGGGTCCTGAGGGATGGACAGAGGGGCTTGGGTGTCCCTATAGGGCACTGGGGGGGAGCTGGCTCCATGGGGGTCCTTGAGGTCAATGGGGGGGGGCCCAAGGCTATGGGGGTCCCTGGGGTCAATGGGGGGGTCCCCAAGGCTATGGGGGTCCCTGGAGTCAATGGGGGGGTCCCCAAGGCTATGGGGGTCCTTGGGGTCAATGGGGGGGTCCCCAAGGTTATGGGGGTCCCTGGCATCAATGGGGGGGTACCCAAGGCTATGGGGGTTCCTGGGATCAATGGGGGGGTACCCAGGGCTATGGGGGTCAATGGGGGGGTCCCTAAGCCTGTAGGGGTCCCTGGGGTCAGGTTGGGGGTCCCTTGGGTCCGTGTGGGGATCTGGGCCTATTTGGGGGTCCCCAACCTCATAGGAGTCTTGGGGTCTATAGGGGTCCCTATAGGAGTCCCCATAGGGGTCCCAGGGCCTGGTTTGGGGGTCCCTGCCCCTGCGGAGGCTCCCGGGCTCAGGGTCCTCATCCCCATAGGGCTCCAAGAGGGGGGGGCCCCCTTCAGGGTCCTCATCCCCATAGGGGTCCATGTAGGGGTCCCCATAGATATCGGGGTCCCAGGGCTCGGGCTCCTCACCCCTATAGGGCAGGGCCGGGCCCGTGTAGGGGCCCCCATAGGACTCAGGGTCCCAGAGCTGCCCCTCGGGGTCCTCCAGGGCCATGTAGGGGTCCCCGTAGGTGTCGGGGTCCTCATCCCCATAGGGGGGGGCAGAGCCGGGGTGGGGGGCACCGTACGTGGTGGGGGCCTGCGGTGAGCGCGGTGCCGGGTCCCGGTGCCAGGATGCTCCTGGATCCTCATCGATGCCTTGGTGCAAGCCCCGGTACCTGCCCGGTGCCCGGTCCCCGTGGTGCAGATCCCGGTGCCAGGATGCTCCTGGATCCTCATTGATGCCTTGGGGCAAGCCCTGGTACCTGCTCGTTGCTTGGTCCCCATGGTGCAGATCCCGGTGCCAGGATGCTCCCGGATCCTCATTGATGCCTTGGTGCAAGCCCCGGTACCTGCTCGTTGCCAAGTCCCCATGGTTCAAACCCCGGTGCCAGGATGCTCCTGGATCCTCATTGCTGCTTTGGTGCAAATCCTGGTGTCTGCTTGGTGCCCGGTCCCCATGGTTCAAACCCCATCGCCAGGATGCTCCTGAATCCTCATTGCTGCTTTGGTGCAAATCCTGGTGTCTGCTTGGTGCCCGGTCCCATTGATGCAAATCCTGGTTCCGAGATGCTCCTGCATCCCCATCACTGCCTTGGTGCGGATCCTCCTCCAAGCCCCGGTACCTGCCCGGTGCCCGGTCCCCATGGTTCCAATCCTGGTGCCAGGATGCTCTTGGATCCTCATTGCTTTCTTGATGCAAACCCTGGTGCCTGCTTGGTGCCCGGTCCCCATGGTCCAAGCTCCGGTCCCAGGATGCTCCTGGATCCTCATCACCGCCTTGGTCCAAGCCCCGATGCCTGCTCTCTGCCCGGTCCCCACGGCTCCAATCCCGGTCCCAGGATGCTCCCGGATCCCCATCACTGCCTTGGTGCAAGTCCTGGTGTCTGCTTGGTGCTCGGTCCCCCTGGTTCCAATCCCGGTGCCAGGATGCTCTTGGATCCTCATCACCGCCTTGGTGCAAGCCCCGGTACCTGCTCATTGCTGGGTCCCCATGGTTCAAACCCCATTGCCAGGATGCTCCCGGATCCTCATTGCTGCCTTGGTCCAAGCCCCGGTCCCTGCTCTCTGCCCGGTCCCCATGGCTCCAATCCCGGTCCCAGGATGCTCCCGGATCCTCATTGATGCCTTGGTCCAAGCCCCGCTGCCTGCTCGCTGCCCGGTCCCTGCTCGCTGCCCGGTCCCCGTGGCTCCAATCCCGGTCCCGGGATGCTCCCGGATCCCCATCACCGCCTCGTTCCGTGCCCTCCGCCGGCTCCCACCGCTGCTCTCCCCCGCTCCGTTCCTCTCCCTCCTCCCTCTCTCTTCCTCGCTGCCATCCCCGGTGCCTCCCCCTGCTCCAGCCCCGCTTGGCTCCATGGGGCAGGCGCCGGCAGTTGGCCCCGTCGGGCTGCAGCACGTACCCGGGGTGGCAGTGACAGGCGAAGCCCCCCTCGTGGTTCAGGCACATGTGATGGCAAACGGCGGCCGTGCGGCACTCGTCCGTGTCCCCGCACGCCCCCAAGGCCCCCGGTACCGGACCGAACCCCAACGGGCACGGAGGGGGCACCCCCGCGGTCACCCCCGCCGCCAGCAGCGCCACCAGCGCCAGCATCGCTCCGGATGGGTTGTACCAATAGGGAGGGGGGGGGGGTCCCCCCCTGCTTTGCGTCCCCACCCCCGGCCAAGGGCGGTGCTGGAGTCGGGACAACCCCTCCCAGTGCTCCCAGTGCTCCAGGCTGGGAACACCCTGAGCTTCACATCCCAACCCCCCCCCCACTCCACCTCCCCATAACTTGTGGGGCCAGGCCCTAAGGGCTGCGGTTGGGATTTGGGGGTTTGGAGGGGGAGGAAGCAGGAGGGGGGGGCCCATAGAGGGGGTGGTGACCCCCAAGTAACGGGGATGAGATTTGGGGGGAGCTGGTTGGGATTTGGGTTGTTTGGAGGGGGAGGAAGCAGCTGGGGGGGGTGATTCACAGAGGGGGTGATGCCCCATAGAGGGTGTGATGCCCCCCAAGTGATGGGGCTGAGATTTGAGGGGCTTAAAGTGGGAGGAAGCAGTAAGGGGGAGGGGGGGGTGGTACGCCATAGAGGGGGTGCTGACCCCCAAGTGATGGGGCTGGGATTTGGGGGGAGCTGGTTGGGATTTGGGGTGTTTAGAGGGGGAGGAAGCAGCTGGGGGGGTGATGCCCCATAGAGGGGGTGTTGCCCCATAGAGGGGGTGCTGACCCCCAAGTAATGGGGCTGGGATTTGGGGGTTTTGGAGGGGGAGGAAGCAGCTTTGGGGGGGGTGATGCCCCATAGATGGGGTGGTGCTCCATAGAGGGTGTGGTGCCCCATAGTGGGGGTGGTGCCCCATAGAGGGGGTGCTGACCCCCAAGTGATGGGGCTGAGATATGGGGGGAGCTGGTTGGGATTTGGGGTGTTAGAGGGGGAGGAAGCAGCTTTTGGGGGGGTGATGCCCCATAGAGGGGGTGATGCCCCATAGAGGGGGTGCTGCCCCCCAAGTGGGTGCTTCCCCCCTCAGCACCACATCACTGCAGCAGCCATCACCCCTGTGTGCCCCCCCCCCCCATAACGAGCACAGGACCCACCTGCAATAGGGTTGTATTGGGGGGGGTGACAAGGGGGTGATGGGGGGCACAGGAAGGTGCTGCCCTCAGGGCAGGGGTCCTGGGGTGCTGTAGAGCTGAGCCAGGGACCTGCTGAGGGAGGGGCCCAGGTTCCTGTGGGGTGAGGAGACAGAGGGGTGAGGAGCTGGGAATGGGGGGGGGACCCCAAGGGATGGGGGGGGGGGCAAAAAGGGATAGGGGGCAGCATGGGATGGGGGGGTAGTAAAGGATGAGGAGGGTACCCAGGGATGGGGGGGCACCAAGGGATGTGGGGGTCACTATGGGGGGGTACCCAGGGATGGGGGGCACCAAAGGATAGGGGGGCAATATGGGGGGGTACCCGGGGATGGGGGTGGGAACCAAGGGATATGGGGGACACCATGGGGGGCGGTACCCAGGGATGGGGGGGCATCAAAGGATAAGGGAGGCACTATGGGGGGATGGTACCCATGGATTGGGGGGCACCAAGGGATAAGGGGGACACTGTTGGTGGGGTGGTACCCAGGGATGGGGGGGCACCAAGGGATATGGGGGGCACTATGGGGGGGGTACCCAGGGATGGGGGGGGCATCAAGGGATAAGGGGGACATTATGGAGGAGTGGTACCCAGGGATAGGGGGGCACTATGGGGGGGTACCCAGGGATGGGGGGGCATCAAGGGATAAGGGGGGCACTATGGGGGGGTGGTACCTAAGGATGGGGGGGCACCAAGGGATAGGGGGGGCACCATGGAGGGGGTACCCATGGATGGGGATTGGTACCCAAGGATGGGAAGAACACCAAAGGATGGGGAGGGGACCATGGTGGGGGTACCCAAGGATGGGGGGGGCACCAAAGGATAAGGGAGGCACTATGGGGGGGTGGTACCCAGGGATGGGGGGGGCACCATGGGGGGTACCCAAGGATGGGGGGGGCACCATGAGGGGGTACCCAGGGATGGGGGGGGCACCATGGGGGGTACCCAAGGATGGGGGGGGCACCATAAGGGGGTACCCAATGATGGGGGGGGGGTCCCACCTCTGCAGGGGTCCACAGGGGATGGTGCTGAGCAGGGCCTCGCGCTGCAGGGGCTCGGGGCAGGCGCTGTAGGCGGCCATGAGGCTGTGAGAGGGATAAAGGAGGGGGGGATTTGAGGTCCCAGCCCCACACTTGGGGGTTCCCAGCCCCACACTTGGGGGTCACCCCCCCCCCCCCATTACCTGGCAGGGGTGGGGAAGCGCTGCAGGATGGCGGCCGCCCTCCCCCCGCTGAGCCCCCCGAGCTGCAGCAGTTGCCGGGCGAAGACGTCCCCCACGGTCTGTGGCTGGGGGGGGAGGGGGAACCCCAATATAACCCCCAGTGAGCACCCCAACCCCCCCCAGCCCCCCTATGCCACCCACATCCCCATCCCCCCCACCCCCCATGGACCTCCTTGGGACCCCTTTTGCCCCCCCTGAGCATCCCAACCCCCCATCCCCCCCCAGGGACCTCTTTGGGAACCCCCACTTTGGGACCCCCTTTGCGCCCCCCGAGCACCCCAATCCCCCCAGTCCCCTATGTCCCCCACATCCCCATCCCCCCTTCAGGGACCTCCTTGGGACCCCCTCCCCCTTTGGGACCCCCTTTGCGCCCCCTGAGCACCCCAACCCCCCCAGCCCCCTCTGCCCCCCACATCCCCATCCCCCCCCAGGGACCTCCTCGGGACCCCCCCCCAATCTCTTTGGATACCCCCTTTCCCCCCCCCCGAGCACCCCAAGCCCCCTATACCCCCCACATCCCCATCCCCCCCCCAGGATCTCCTTGGGACTCCCCCCCCCTTTGGGGACCTTCTTCCCCCCCCACTCCCAGCACCCCCTTAGCCCCTCCCCACACCCCATTATCCCCTCCCCACCCCCTCCATGCCCTCCCCCCCACAATCCCCCCCTCCCCCTTTCTTTGGGGACCCCCAGGTCCCCCCCCCCGATCCCCTTTGCCCCCAACCTGGTTCTTGCCCCCCGCCGCCCGCAGGCCCTGGAAGCGCAGGAGGGAGCAGGGGGTCCCCGGGGGCTCGGGGGGGCCCCGTCCGGTCACGTCCCCCCCCCACGCCCGCAGCACCCGGCCCTGAGGGGGAGGGGAGAGGGGGGCGGGGCACAAAAGGGGAGGAGTCAGGGCGGGGAAAGGGGGAGGGGCAGGAGCCGCAGCCCCCTCCCCGTGACCTCTCTGTGACCCCCCCTGTTCCCATGGCCCCTCCGTGACCCCGAGCATCCCCTTCATGTCCCCACGTGCCCCCATAACCTCCATGTGCCCCCATGACTTCCTGTGCCCCCCAATGTCCCCTCTGTAGCCCCCCCATATTCCCCCATGTCCCCCCCTCCCCCCATGATCCCCAAGTCCCCCCAATGCCCCCACCTCACCCCATGTCCCCACCTCACCCCATGTCCACCCCCACCCCATGCCCCCCAATGCCCCCCCATTTTCCCCCCATGCCTCCATCCCCATTCCCCCCCCATATGCCCCCCATGTCCCCCCCCATGTCCCCCCCCATGTCCCCCCCATCCCCCCCATGACCCCCTCACCACCCATGTCCCCCCATATCCCCCCCTCCCCATGCCCCCCCCATGGCTCCCTCCCCCATATCCCTCCATGGCCCCCCATGTCCCCCCCTCTGCCCATGCCCCCCAATGCCCCCCCCATGTCCCCCTCTCCCCCATATCACCCCCATGCCCTCCCCATATGCCCCCCATTTCCCCCCGTCCCCCCATGCCCCCAATGTCCCCCCTACCGCCTTCCCCCCCATGCCCCGCTATTCTCCCTCTCCCCCATATCCCCCTCAAGCCCCCCCATGTCCCCCCTCCCCCCATGTCTCCCCCTCATCCCATGCCCCCCCATCCCCCTTCCCCCCATATCCCCCCCTCCCCCCCTCCCCATGCCCCCCCATGGTCCCCATCCCCCATAACCCCCCCATGACCCCCTATGGCCCCCCATGTCCCACTCTCCCCCATATCCCCCCCATGACCCCCTATGTCCCCCCCACCTCCCATGTCCCCCCCATGTCCCATTCTCCCCCATATCCCCCCATGACCCCCATGTTCCCCCCTTCCCCCCATGCACCCCCATGCCCACCCCATAGCGCTGCTGCAGCTGCTCCCCCAGCACCCGCAGGAACGTGGCCGATTCCTGGGGTCCCCCCGTGCGCTTCACAAAGAAACCGTCCACAACCTGCAGGGAATGGGGGTGCTGAGACCCCCCCAGTACCCCCAGTACCCCCAGTTTGGGGAGGGGGCCACCCATGGGTGCTATGGGTGCAATGGGGATCACCTGGGTGCTGGGGGGGGGGGATGCTATGGGTGCAATGGGGGGCACCTGGGTTCTGGGGGGGGGGATGCTATGGGTGCAATGGGGGGTATCTGGGTGCTGGGGGGGGATGCTATGGGTGCAATGGGGTGTACCTGGGGTCCTGGGGGGGGGATGCAATGGGTGCAATGGGGGGTACCTGGGTGCTGAGAGGGGATGCTATGGGTGCAATGGGGGGTACCTGGGTGCTGTGGGGGGAGTGTGTATGGGTGCAATGGTGATGTCTGGGTGCTGGGGGGGGGGATGCTATGGGTGCAATGGGGGGTACCTGGGGTGTGGGGGGGGGATGCTATGGGTGCAATGGAGGGTATCTGGGTGCTTGGGGGAGGGGTGCTATGGGTGCAATGGGGGTACCTGGGTGCTGGGGGGGGGGGATGCTATGGGTGCAATGGGAGGTACCTGGGTGCTGGGGGAGGATGCTATGGGTGCAATGGGGGGTACATGGGTGCTGGGGGGGGGGGATGCTATGGGTGCAATGGGGGGTACCTGGGTGCTGGGGGGGGGATGCTATGGGTGCAATGGGAGGTACCCGGGTGCTGGGGGGGGGGATGCTATGGGTGCAATGGGGGGTATCTGGGTGCTGGGGGGGGATTATGGTGATGGGGGTACTGGGTGTCGGGGGAGGATGTATGGGTGCTGGTGGTATGTGGGGGGGATGCTATGGGTGGGTGCAATGGGGGGTACCTGGGTGCTGGGGGGGGGGATGCTATGGGTGCAATGGGGATCACCTGGGTGCTGGGGGGGGATGCTATGGGTGCAATGGGGGGTTACTGGGTGCTGGGGGGGGGGATGTTGGGTGCAATGGGGGGTATCTGGGTGCTGGGGGGGGGATGCTATGGGTGCAATGGGGGGTACCTGGGTGCTGGGGGGGGGGATGCTATGGGTGCAATGGGGGGTACCTGGGTGCTGGGGGGGGATGCTATGGGTGCAATGGGGGGTACCTGGGTGCTGGGGGGGGATGCTATGGGTGCAATGGGGGGTACCTGGGTGCTGGGGGGGGGATGCTATGGGTGCAATGGGGGGTACCTGGGTGCTGGGGGGGGGATGCTATGGGTGCAATGGGGGGTACCTGGGTGCTGGGGGGGGATGCTATGGGTGCAATGGGGGGTACCTGGGTGCTGGGGGGGGGATGCTATGGGTGCAATGGGGGGTACCTGGGTGCTGGGTGGGGGGGGATGCTATGGGTGCAATGGGGGGTACCTGGGTGCTGGGGGGGATGCTATGGGTGCAATGGGGGGTACCTGGGTGCTGGGGGGGGGATGCTATGGGTGCAATGGGGGGTACCTGGGTGCTGGGATGCTATGGGTGCAATGGGGGGTACCTGGGTGCTGACGGCCGCCTGGCGCAGGGTGGGCAGGGGCAGGCTCAGGGGCTCCCCCTTCTCCGGCTCCTCCAGCAGGTAAATGGGCTGGCGCAGGCCGCAGCGGCCCAGGCGGAACTGGGGGGAGGGGGGGGGCCGTTACAGCCAGGGCTCACCAGGAACCCCCATTGACACCCATTGACCCCAGTGCCACCAGGATCCCCCATTGACCCCCAATAACCCCCAGTGTCACTAGGAACCCGCAATGACCCGCAGTGACACCCAGTGCCACCAGGAACCCCCATTGACCCCCAGTATCCCCAGGAACACCCATTGACCCCCAGTGTTACCAGGAACCCCCATTACTCTCCATTCACCCCAGTAAATGACAGTGCTACCCAGAGCAACCCAGTAACCCCCATCTCTCTCCAATGGTCCCAGTAATCCCCCGTGCCACCCAGTAAACTCAGTACCACCCAGTACCACTTACCAGCCCCATTACCCTCCAATGACCCCAGTAACCCCCAATGCCCCCCTATAAACCCCAGTGCTCCTCAATAACCCCCAATCACTCCAATAACACCCAGTGCCACCCAGTAACCCCAGTACCACCCAGTACCATTTAGCAACACCATTACCCTCCAATGACCCCTGTAACGCCCAGTGCCCCCCAATAAACCCCAGTGCTTTCCAATAACCCCCAAGCACCCCAATAACCCCAGGTACCATCCAATACCACTTAGTAATCCCCAATCACCCCCAATGACCCCAATAACCCCCAATCACCCCAATAGCACTCAGTGCCACCCAGTAACCCCAGTACCACCCAGTACCACTTAGCAACCCCATTACCCTCCAATGACCCCAGTAACCCCCAGTGTCCCCCAATAACCCCCAATCACTCCAATAACACCCAGTACCACCCAATAACCCCAATAACACCCAATACCACTTAGCACCCCATAACCCCCAATAACCCCAGTAACCCCCAGTGCCCCCCAATAAACCCCAGTGCTCTCCAATAACCCCCAATCACCCCAATAACCCCCAGTCCCATCCAGTACCACTTAGTAATCCCCAATCACCCCCAATGACCCCAATAACCCCCAATGACCCCAATAGCACCCAGTGCCACCCCAGTACCACCCAGTACCACTTAGCAACCCCATTACCCTCCAATGACCCCAGTAACCCCCAGTGCCCTCCAATAACCCCCAATCACTCCAATAACACCCAGTGCCACCCAGTAACCCCAGTACCACCCAGTACCATTTAGGAACACCATTACTCTCCAATGACCCCAGTAACCCCCAGTACCCCCCAACAAACCCCAGTGTTCCCCAATAACCCCCAATCACCCCAATAACCCCCAGTGCCATCCAATACCACTTAGTAATCCCCAATCACCCCCAATGACCCCAATAACCCCCAATCACCCCAATAGCACCCAGTGTCACCCCAGTACCACCCAGCACCACTTAGCAACCCCATTACCCTCCAATGACCCCAGTAACCCCCAGTGCCTCCCAATAACCCCCAATCACTCCAGTAACACCCAGTGCCACCCAGTAATCCCAGTACCACCCAGTACCACTTACGAGCCCCATTACCCTCCAATGACCCCAGTAACCCCCAGTGCCCCCAATAAACCCCAGTGCTCCCCAATAACACCCAATCACCTCAATAACCCCCAATCACCCCATTAACACCCAGTATCATCCACTACCACTTAGTAACCTGCAATCACCCCCAATGACCCCAGTAATCCCCAATAACCCCCAGTAACCCCCAGTGCCCCCCCCGCACCTTCTGCTCCCGGTACCTCCCATCGCTGAGGCTGCTCGCCAGGTCCGAGGCCGATTTCCGCTCCACCACCACGTCCAGCACCAGCTCCCTTGGGGGGCGCCCTGGGGGCGGGGCCAGCGCATGGTCACGCCCACAGCCAATGGCAGCGCAAGGTTACGCCCCCCCTGGCCCCACCCACAGGCAAGAGCCTGGCCACACCCACCACCTCTAATGAGGGCGTGACCAGACGCGGACCCCGCCCACAGCCAATGGCAGCGCATGGCCACACCCTCCTTGGCCCCACCCGCAGACAGGAGCCAATGACAGGACAGGCAAGGGGCGGGGCCAGATCCTGACCACACCCACCACCTCCAAAGGGGGCGTGACCAGACGCTGACCCCTCCCACAGCCCAATGGAGGCGGAGTCACTTTGGCCCCGCCCACACCGCAGCAGATGTAGGCGGAGCCAGCACCGGGTTCCACCCCCACCGCTCATCCCATTGACTCCATCCCTCCCTTGCCCCCGCCCACCCACCCCAGAGGCCACGCCCACCTGTGGGCGGGGCTCTCTCGCGGGCCACCCAGAGGAAGTCTCCCACGTGGAGTCTGCGCAGGCTCAGGGGTACCCGACCCCGCAGCAACGACGGCACCGGCCTGGCCACGCCCCCCCCCCCGCATACGTCACCGGGGGGCGTGGCCACCCCATGGAGGGGGTAAGGGGGGAGACACAAGGGGGGGATGCAAGGGAAGGCTCTTTAGAACCCTATGGGGACAAGGGGATGGGCAGGGGACACCCCAGGGGGGACAAGGGCTCCATGAGTGGGGCTCATTGGGACCTATGGGGCAGAAACCCCTCCGGGGTGTAGATGGGACAGGCCTGTGGCACTGGGTACAAGGGACACAGCATTCCCTTGGGGGCGGGTAGGACCCCATGGTGCGGGGATGGGGGGAGGACTCACGCACCCATTGGCCTCGGTGACGTCAGCGCAGAGAATGATGTCAAATTCACCAGGTTTCAGCTCAAACTCGATATCAGAGCCAGGCCTGGGGGGGGGACAACACCAAGGGGTCCAAAAGGGGGGGGACAGGACCCAAATCCTGGAACCCCCCCCAGGAAGGAGGCAGAAATCTGGGGTGTCCCCCCCCCAATACCCATCTCAATGGGGACTTACGGTGGGGAGGGAGGAGGGAGATGGTCTTCGGATGGAGGCGGGGCTTCTGAGGCAGAAGCAGCCAATCGCTGGGCCAGAATGTGACCACGTGGGGTCAGCGAGTACCTGGGGAGGGGGGGGGACAAAGGGGGTGACCAGGGGGGTTTGCAGGGATGTGGGGTTGGGGAGGGCGGCTTTGGCCATACCGGGGGGGGCGGCCATTGCGCTGCAGCAGGTCCCGTCGCAGGAGGGTGCCCAGGGCTCCCTTGGGTGCTCCCTGGGGAAGGGGGTGGAAGGGGCCCCATTATTCACGTGTTTCCCCCTTGGTGAGGGGGGGGGGGTCCCATGGGACCTTCCTGCTCCCGTTCACTCTGGTGCCTACTGAGGGCACTCACCAGGGTCAGGGGCCGGTCACAGAGGGGCTGGGCCTGACGCAGAAGCTCCGCCTCTGGGAGGGGCTCTGAGCTCTAAGGGGGAGACCATGATGGGGGGAATGGGGGGGGACACCCCAAAGTCCCCAAATCCTTGCCCAACCCCCCTTTACCTTGTGCAGCGTCAGCAGCAGCGCTCGTGCCCCTGAGCGGGGGAGGGGCCGGTACTCACGGGGGGGGCAACGCTGGGAGGGGGGAGGGGGCAGAGGTGAGGGGGGGGGTCCAGCACCCCCCCCAACCCCCTCAATCCCCCCCCTCCAGGGGTCCGGGGGGGGGCGTGGTGATGATGTCACTCACCGTGGGTGGAGCCAAAGGGCTCTCCGGGCTCCTCCTCTCTGCGGGGGGTGTGGGGGCGTGGCCTTGCTCTGGTGGGGGGTGCCAATATGCAAAACAGATACAAATGAGCGCATGGATCAGCACCTATTGAAGTGACATCAGGCGTGGACCAGCCCACCCGTATCTCCGCCCACAACCTTTGATGCCCCGCCCACCCCCGAGGCCCCTCCCACCTGCGCGGTGCTGGCGCAGGCGCAGATCGAGCCGGCGGCAGAGGGCGGGGCCGAAGTTCTTCAAGATGGCGGCCGCCTTCCCGGAGCGGAGCCGCAGCGGGTACCGGGCGAGGGAGCGCAGCGCCTGCGGGGACCCGAGGCTGGGACCGGGAGCAGCGGCAGCCCCAGCCAGCCCCCCCCCCTCCGGTGTCCCCGCACACCCACCCGCTCGTAGACGCCTTTTGCCCGCGTTCCGGTGGCCTCGTCCCGCCACTCCCGGAGCCAGCGGGTGAAGAGCGGGTTGGGGGAAGCACGGGGCCCGCGGCGACGGCGGTGGCGGCGAGGGGCGGCAGCGGCGGCCTCCGCCATGGCGGCGGCGTTCACCGGAAGCTCCCGCCCCTGACACGGAAGTGCTGTTCAGCCGATCTGCCTTGCTCGCACGTTCAGCTTGTCTGCACTGGAGGACGTGGGCCTCTCTAGGCGGCCTGGAGGACCAACTCCTCTGCTCTGGCGGACTCGGGGGGGGAGTGCCTCCACAAAAAGCCCTTGGGGGGGCTGATACCCCCACATTCTCCCCCCCCCACCCGAGGGTTTCACCCCCCCAAGGGGTTCACACCCCCCCTGCAACTTAACCTCAGGGTGTTCCTTTTCCCTCTGTACCCCCTCCAAGCACCCCCATCTCCCTATTAGAATCCCCCAAACAATCCAGGGGTGTGTCCCCCCCAAATCAAGCCAAAGCTTGGACCCAGCACAGCAAAACCTTTATTATTTAGAAAACTCATACAAACAAACTGGAAGCGGGTGGGGGGGCGGGGGGAGGCACCCCAATATGACACAACCCCCCCAATGCAGAACAGGGGGGAAACCCCAACACCCCCCCCCCACACCCCCATGGGGGATTTGGTGTGATTGAGGGGGGGTATCCCAGGACCCCCCTATGAGGATGGTTTTGGAAGGGTAAACCCCAACCCCCCCTTGATGGAGGTGGTGGGGGGGGCAGCACCACAGTTTTTGGGGGGGGGCCCTGATGTGAATGGGACCCCCGTGGCTGGTGGCGGGGGGTATGGGGGGGGTATTGGGGTGCCCCATGTTGGGGGCTCAGAGGAAGGCATCGCACCACTCCCGGAGGCAGCCGGAGCAGTCCCGGGACTGTTTGGCGTTGGCTCCGCACGTTTCCTTCAGCCATTCCCGGAAGAGCTCCTCGTCCTTCCGCAGCACCAGGAACTGCCCCAGCACCACGTACGCCTGGGGGGGGGAGCACAGGGACACCCCCAGTGTCCCCATGGGTGTCCTTATCCCAAGCCATGACCCTGCAGCTCCCCCCATGGCACTGGGACAATCCCGCATCCCTAAGGACACGTTTATGTTTAACCCCCCCCCAAGCGCATCCCTGAACATTCCCATGTCCCCAAGGGGCTTCTGCCCATTCCATGTCCCCAAGGAAGCCTCTTGTCCCCACTGTGTCCCTAAGAGGGTCACTGTCCTCCCATTCCCAAGGGATTCCCTGTGTTATCCCCCCCACCAGTGTCCTCACTGTGTCCTGTCCCCATCCCCATTACCCCCAATGGGCTCCAGGCTCTGCCATGTCCTCAAGGAGGTCCCTGTGTGTGCCCCCCCCATGTCCCCAAGGGGCACCTATCTCCCACCATGTCCCTAAGGGGGTCCCTTGTCGATCCCCCCCCAACCCCCATATCCCCAAGATGCTCCTGTCCCCACCATGGCCCTAAGTGGGTTTCTGTGTGTTCCCCACCTTGTCCCCCCTGTGTCCCTGTCACACCCCCCATCCCCAATGTCCCTCCTGCCCCATGTCCCCAAAGGGCCCCTATACCCACCATGTCCCTAACGGGGTCCCTATCCCCCCATACACATCCCTAAGGGGGTCCCTCTGTGTCCCCCCTGCCCCCTTTCCCCAAAGGGCCCCTACACCCACCATGTCCCTAAGGGGGTCCTTATCCCCACTCTCCCATCCCCAAGGGGGTCCCTCTGTGTCCCCCTTCTTCATGTCCCTAAGAGGCTCCTGTCCCCTTCATGTCCCCAAGGGGGTCCCTGGGTGACCCCCTTTCCCCAAAGGGCCCCTATACCCACCATGTCACTAAGAGGGTCCCTATCCCCCCATACACATCCCAAGGGGGTCCCTGTGTGTCCTCCCTCCCTAATGCTCCTAAGAGGATCCTGTCCCCACCATGTCCCTAAAAGAGTCCCTATCAACCCCCCCCATCCCCAAAGGTGTCCCTGTGAGTCTCCCCTGCCCCATGTCCCCAAAGAGCCCCTATACCCATCATGTCCCTAAAGGGGTCCCTATCCCCTCATATACATCCCCAAAGGTATCCTTGTGTGTCCCCCCTGCCCCATGTCCCCAAATAGCCCCTATACCCATCATGTCCCTAAAGGGGTCTCTATCCCCCATACACATCCCCAAGGCGGTCCCTGTGTATCCCCCCTGCCCCATGTCCCCAAAAAGCCCCTATACACACCATGTCCCTAAGGGGGTCCCTATCCCCATCCCCAAAGGGGTCCCTGTGTTTCCCCCCTGCCCCATGTCCCCAAAGAGCTCCTATACCCATCATGTCCCTAAAGGGGTCTCTATCCCCCATACACATCCCCAAGGGGGTCCCTGTGTGTCCCCCCTGCCCCATGTCCCCAAAGGGCCCCTATACACACCATGTCCCTAAGGGGGTCCCTATCCCCCCATAAACATCTCCAAAGAGGTCCCTCTGTGTCCCCCCCTTCCTCGTGTCCCTAAAGGGCTCCTGTCCCCTCCATGTCCCTAAGGAGGTCCCTATCTATCCCCCATCCCCAATGGGGTCCCTGTGTGTCCCCCTGCCCCATGTCCCCAGAGGGTCCCTATCCCCCCATTACATCCCCAAGGGGGCCCCATGTCCCCAAAGGGCTCCTTTCGCCACTGTGTCACTAAGAGGGTCCCTATCCCCATTCCCAAAGGGGTCCCTGTGTGTCCCTCCTGCCCCATTTCCACAAAGGGCCCCTATACCCACCATGTCACTAAGGGAGTCCCTATCCCCCCATATACATCCCCAAAGGGGTCCCTGTGTGTCCTCCCACCCCTTGTCCCCAAAGGGCCCCTATACCCACCACATCCCTAAGGGGGTCCCTATCCCCCCATACACATCCTTAAGGGGGGCCCTGTGTGTCCCCCCGCCCCCTTTCCCCAAAGGGCCCCTATACCCACCATGTCCCTAAGGGTGTCCCTATCCCCCCATATACATCCCCAAGGGGGTCCCTGTGTGTCCCCCCCTGCCCTATGTCCCTAAGAAGCTCCTGTCCCCACTATACCCCTAAGAGGATCCCTATCTAACCCCCCCCATCCCCAATGGGGTCCCTGTGTGTGTCCCCATGCCCCATGTCCCCAAAGCGCTCCCACCATGTCCCTAACGGGGTCCATCCCCAACGGGGTCCCTTTGTGTCCCCCATGTCCCTAAGGCTCCCCCGCTCACCCCTCCCGAGCCTCCGGCACCCCCTTTCCTCTCCCCACCTTATCGAAGCCCTTCTCCTCCAGCTTCTTGCCCAGCACATCCCCGATGCCCGCCAGCGTCCCCACCGGCTTCTCCCCCATGGGCTCCGCTACGAAGTCCCGGTGCTTCTGCGACGTGGAGGACATGGCGCCTGCGGGGCGATGGGGGGGACGCGGCTCAAAGGGGGGGAACCGGGACCCTAGGCCCGGACTGAGGGACCCCGCGGAACGGCGCCCCCCCTACCCCGCGGCCCTCACCGGAGGCTCCGACCGCTGCTCCCGCCTCAGGCCGCTACCGCCGCCGCTCTGCGTGCGTCGACGTCGTGACGTCACATCCGGCTGCGCGATGGAGTCGAGACAGAGCGGCCACTAGAGGCGGCGGTGAGGCGCTCTAGGTGGTGGTTGGGTCATAGAGAACGCGGGAGGACCTCGGGCTTCCCTCCCCCCTCACCCACCCTCCCAAAATCCCATGGGATTCTCCCGGAAAGAGGCTTGAAAAGAGTAAAAAAAGCCCAATATTGGCACCAAAAACCCCGGCTTTTTATTAATAAACCACAAATAAAACACAGGCAGACCAAAGAACATCGGGGAAAGGGGGAAATGGGGTGGGGGAAGCTGGAAGGTTGAGGAAGAGAAGGGGTTTGGAGGAAAAAGGGGAGTTTTAGGGGGAAAAGAGAGTTTGGGGGAAAAAAGGGAGATTTGGGGCAAAAAGGGGCAATTTGGGAGTAAAAAAGGGAGACTTGGGAGCAAAAATGGGATACTTCAGGCTAAACAAGGCGATTTGGGAGCAAAAAGGGGGAGTTTCAGCCAGAAAGGGGTGATTTGGGAGCAAAAAGGGGCAATTTGGGGCAGAAAAGTGCGATTTGGGAGGAAAAAGGGGCAATTGGGGAACAAAAATGGGCGATTTGGGGCAAAAAGGGGTGATTTGTGAACAGAAAGGGGTGATTTGGGAGCAAAAAGGGGCAATTTGGGGCAGAAAAGGGCGATCTGGGAGCAAAAAGGGGCAATTGGGGAACAAAAATGGGTGATTTGGGGCAAAAAGGGGCGATTTGGGAACAAAAAGGGGCAACTTAGGGCAAAAAGGGGAGATTTGAGAGTAAAAGAAGCCCTTTGGGGGTGAAGGGGGGGGTCTCCAGCCCTCAGGCCTCCTCCTCTCTCAGCAGCATGTTGGGGATCCCACGGGAGATGGGGAACTGGCGCCCCGAGTCCGGGCACTGCAGGAACCCCTCCAGTACCTCCACCTGGGGGGGGGGGGGGGAGAACAACATAATGGGGTCAGTGGGGGGGGTTCAGGACCACCCCGCCCCCCCCAAGTGGGTTTTGGGGTCCCCTTCACCTCCAGCAGCACATGGTGCACCCGCCGCAGGAACGCTTCATCTCCCTCGTAGTCCGGGGTAGGCTCGGGGGGCAGATTCGAGGGGTGCCCCAACTGCAATGGGGGGGAATGGGGGGGAGCTGGGGGACCCCCAATAGAACCCCAGTGCCCCCCCATCCCAAACCTTAGGATCCCCCTCCCCCAGATCCCCTCCAAACTGGGATCCCCCCAAAATCGAAGCCCTCCCCCCAGTTGAGACAGCCCCAAACCACGCCCCCCCCAACCGGACACCCCCAAACTCTCCCCTCCCCCCCCATTTAGGACCCCCCCCCCCTCCACTCACGCTCTCGGCCGCCTCCAGCAGCGCCCCCCAGCGCAGCCGCGGCACCAACCGGGCTACGAAGGCGGCGTTGAACGGTACCGGCCGCACGCAGACATCCGAGGCCTGGGGAAGGAGGGGGGGAACGGGCTATGGGGCTGTGGGCCGGTAACGGGGGTGCCGTACCGGTAACGGGGTTTACAGGCCGGTAATGAGAGATGCGGTGTTGGTAGCGGGGCCTAAGGGCCAGTAATGGGGATGTGGTGCCGGTACTGGGAGCCATGGGAAGTAACGGGAGTGTGGGGCGGGTACCGGGGATGAGGTGCCCGTAATGGGGTTTACAGGCCGGTAATGACGGGTACAGTGCCGGGGCCCATGGGCAGGTAACGGGGTTTACCGGCCAGTAATAAGGGGTGCGGTGCCGGGGCCTATGGGAGGTAACGAGGATGTGGTGCCGGTACCGGAGTTATGGGCTTGTACAGGTGGCTATGGGCCTGTACCGGAGCTATGGGCAGATAACGGGGATGTGGTGCTGGTACCGGAGTTATGGGCCTATACCGGAAGCTATGGCCGGTACCGGAGCTACGGAGAGGTAACAGGGATGTGGTGCTGGTACCGGAGTTATGGGCCGGTACCGGAGGCTATGGGCCTCTACCGGAGCTATGGGCAGATAACGGGGATGTGGTGCTGGTACCGGAGTTATGGGCCTATACCGGAAGCTATGGCCGGTACCGGAGCTACGGAGAGGTAACAGGGATGTGGTGCTGGTACCGGAGTTATGGGCCGGTACCGGAGGCTATGGGCCTCTACCGGAGCTATGGGCAAATAACGGGGATGTGGTGCTGGTACCGGAGCTATGGGCAGGTAACGGGGATGTGGTGCCGGTACCGGAGTTATGGGCCTGTACCGGTGGCTATGGATCGGTACCGGAGCTATGGGCAGGTAACGGGGATGTGGTGCTGGTACCGGAGCTACGGACAGGTAACGGGGATGTGGTGCTGGTACCGGAGTTATGGGCAGGTAACGGGGATGTGGTGCCGGTACCGGAGTTATGGGCCTGTACAGGTGGCTATGGGCAGGTAACGGGGATGTGGTGCCGGTACCGGAGTTATGGGCCTGTACCAGTGGCTATGGCCGGTACCGGGGGTCGGGCCCGCACCTGTATCCGCAGGGGGAAGCCGCCGCCGGGCCGGAGCCCGCGCACGTTGGAGCAGAGCAGGTTGTGGGTGAGGAGCTTCATCCCGCCGCCGCCGCTTCCGGTGTGCGTCGCTTCCGGTGGGAGGAGCCGCGGAAAGCGGCTGCGTGATTGGACGGAAGGCGGTCACCAAGGTAACGGCGCATCCATGGGGTGAAGGCGTGGCTTGTGAACGTGATGACGTAGCTCATTGGGGGCGTGGCCTAAAGGGGTGGCTTTGGAGGAGCCCCTGCATCCCCAAATCGCCCTCTGAGCCCCCCCCAACCCAGCTCCTGCATCCCCAAGCCCCCCCATTGCCGGGTACCCCCAAACCCTCTGCCCCGTCCCCCATGGCCATGAATGGAGACAGATGCACAAATGCAGCTCCTTTAATCAATACTGGGGGGCACACGGAGCACCCCAAGCACCTCTTTAAGGACAAGAGGGGATCCCCCCCAACCTGGGACCCCAACACTGCCAAGGGTCCCACCAAAAAGGAGTGTGCAGGGGGAGAAAGGGACCCCAAAAGCCCCAGGAGAAGGGGGGGAGCCCCAAAATGAGACACGGAGAGGGGAAAACGCGTGCTGGGGATGGGGGAATTAAGGCCACATATAGGTGTTGTGCGTTCCCCCCCAGGCTGTGATGGGTGCTATGGGATGGGGTGGGTTTGCTTGTGGGTGCTGGGGGGGTGGGGAGTACACTGCTCCTGCCCCACAGATGCTGTGGGGCAGGACGGGCACTATGGGGTGTACGGGAAGCTGAGCAGCAGCCCCTCATAGGGCCGCAGGTTGATGGCCCCCAGATCGACGTGAGGGTCTGCGGGCGGCAGGTGGTGGGTGCTGAGGTGCAGGGTGGCCTGGGGGGGCAGGCGGGGGTCCTGCAGGGCCAGCGCAGGCAGGGGCTGGTCCCTGGGGTTCAGCACCACCAGGAAGCGTTTGCTCTTGTCCCAGCTCCGTAGGAAAGCGGCCGCGGATCCAGCGGGAACGGCCTCGGCATCCCCAAGGGACAGCGACCGCTCCTGGACCCGCAGCGCACCCAGGCGGCGGCAGAGCTCCAGCAGCTGGGCCTGCAGGGAGGCAGCGTTACAGTAACGCCCCTTTAAGGGGAGGCACGGCCCCTTTAAGACAAGCCCCGCCCCCTTCTGTAAACCCCGCCTCCTTAACAAGCACCGCCCCCTACTAAACGCACGTGGTTCCTTTAGTTTAAGCCCCGCCCACCTCGGTGCTGTTGTCGCCCTTCTGGATCGCCTCGATCAGGTCCCAGGGCATCGGGGTCAGCTGGGGGGGGGGAAATGGGGGTCAAGGGTCATGAACTTTCATCCCCCCCACCCTGTCCCATAGCACCCCAACCCCCCCCAGTACCCAAATCCCCCCCTCAGCCCCACAGCACCCCAAATCCACCCCTTTTTCCCCCAAACTGTGTGTTGTGTCCCCCCCCCTCCATACCTGGCCAGGCTGGGGGGTGCCAGGGAGCCCCCCCTGCTCATCATCCATCAGCCCCACCTCGTCCCCATAGCTGAGCACAGGGGTCCCGGGCAGGGTCCAGAGCAGGAGGAGGAGCTGGGCACGGAGGGGGGTCACCCCCACAAGGTGATGCCAGGGGGACCCCACCTGCATGGGGGGGGGGGGAGACACACACAGGGTCACCCCCCCATCACCCCCCAGCCTGGGGCTGTGTGGGGCATAGACGGGAGGAGGTCCTGGGGGTACATGGGGGGAGGTTGGAGGGAATTTGGGGGGGGCCAAGGGGTTGGGTGGAGGAAGCTTGGGAGGGGCATGGGGTGTTGGAGGTGGTTTGGGGGTCCTGGGGGTGTCTGGAAGGGCATGGGGAGTGTGGGGGTCTCGGGGGGGGGTTTGGGGGTCCCTTGGGGTATTGGGGGGCCTCAGGGGGTGTTTGGGGGTCCCTTGGGGTACTGAGGGTTCCAGGGGGTGTTTGTAGGTCCCAGGGGGTGTTTGGGGGTCCCAGGGGTGTTTGGGGGTCCCTTGAGGTACTGAGGGTCCCAGGGGGTGTTTGGGGGTCCCTTGAGGTACTGAGGGTCCCAGGCGGTGTTTGGGGGTCCCAGGGGTGTTTGGGGTTCCCTTGAGGTACTGAGGGCCCCAGGGGGTGTTTGGGGGTCCCTTGAGGTACTGAGGGTCCCAGGGGGTGTTTGGGCATCCCTTGGGGTATTGGGGGTCTCAGGGGGGGTTTGGGGGTCCCCGGGGGTGTCTGGGGGCCTCAAGGGGTGTTTGGGGGTCCCTTGAGGTAGTGAGGGCTCCAGGGGGTGTTTGGGGGTCCCTTGGGGTATTGGGGGTCCCAGCGGCGGTTTAGGGGTTCCTTGGCATATTTGTGTGTCCCAGGGGGTTTGGGGGTCCCTTTGGGTATTGGGGTTCTCGGGGGGAGTTTGGGGGTCCCTTGGGGTCCCAGGGGGTGTTTGGGGGTCCATGGTGGGGAATGGACTCACGCTCCAGGCCAGGGGGATTTGGGGGCCCAGGAAGTCCAGCAGTTGGGGGACCAGTGTGGGGCTGAAGGGTTTGGCCACCAGCGCCTCCAGGAAGGGCCCCAGCACCAGCCCCACGGATGAGGAGTTGAGCAGCGCCAGCAGCGAGGGGGGGTCCTGCAGTCGTGTACCCCCAACCAGCACCCTGAAAACAGGGGGGAGCAGTGGGTCAGAAAGGGGGGGGCACCAAATATATAGGGTGGGGGGTGCAGGAGGAGGATGGGGGGCACAAACAGACCTGGGGGTGCCCTCAGGGCTGCTCTGCTCTGTCAGGTTCCGCCACTCGGCCAACACTGAGGGCTGGGGGGCAGGAAAAGGGGGGGTCACCCCATAGAACCCCATTCCTGCCCCACAGAGCCCCCCCACAGCCCTGAGCCCACCTTCAGCTCCTCGATGCCATCCAGGAAGAAGCCAGCGACGCCGCGCTCCAGCCACAAGCTCATCGCTCGCTGTGGGGTACAGGGGGGTGAGTGCTCTGCCTGCCTCATAGTGACCCACAGCACCCCATGGCTGCCCCCCAGGTCATCCTGCAGCACCCTATGGCTACCCACAGCATCCCACCGCTGCCCAATACATCCCATAGTTTCCCTATGGCCAGACTCACCACCCCATAGCTGCCCCATTGCTGCCCTATAGCCAACAAGAGCACCCCATACATGCCTTAATGCACCCCCCAGCTGCCCCAATGTACCCCATAGCTTCCCTATGCCCAGCCTCACTCCCCCATAGCTGCCCCATTGCTGTCCTATAGCCAGCAAAAGCACCCAATACCTGCTTCATTGCACCCCAGTTTCCCTATGGCCAGACTCACCACCCCATAGCTGCCCCATTGCTGCCCTATAGCCAACAAGAGCACCCCATACATGCCTTAATGCACCCCCCAGCTGCCCCAATGTACCCCATAGCTTCCCTATGCCCAGCCTCACTCCCCCATAGCTGCCCCATTGCTGTCCTATAGCCAGCAAAAGCACCCAATACCTGCTTCATTGCACCCCAGTTTCCCTATGGCCAGACTCACCACCCCATAGCTGCCCCATTGCTGCCCTATAGCCAACAAGAGCACCCCATACATGCCTTAATGCACCCCCCAGCTGCCCCAATGTACTCCATAGCCCAGCCTCACCACCCCATAGCTGCCCCATTGCTGTCCTATAGCCAGCAAGAGCACCCCATACTCAATGCCTCAATGCACCCCTAGCTGCCCTATAGCCCCCCACAGCCCCCCCCCAAGCTGCCCCAATGTCCCCTATAGCTGCCCTATAGCCACCCACAGCTGCCCCAATGCCCCCCATAGCTGCCCCAATGCCCCCCCATAGCCTCCCCAATGCCCCCACACACCTTGACCTTGTCCTGGAAGCCGGGGTCCTCAGCCACTGCTGGCCCGAACCAGGCCGAGCCCCCCAAGTAATTGGGGGTCAAATCCAAGATCACCTGGATCCCTGGTGGGGTCAAAGGGAGGGGGGGTGTCAAAGCCCCCCCCTCAACTCCTGGGGTACCCCATTACCATTGACCCACAGCACCCCCATGACCCCCCAGCATTTGGGGTGCCCCTCACCCTTCTTCTTGGCGGCCTGCAGGAGGTGGCTGAGGTCCGAGAGGGAGCCCAGCCCCGGGTCCAACTGCTCCAAGGGGGTGTCCTGGGGGACCCCCGAGCTCTGGGGGTGCAGTGGCCCCAGCACCAACCCCTTCACCTGCAGCCCGGCCACGTGCTCCAACCGCGAGGCCACTCCTGCAATGGGGGGGGGGAGGGGTGAACCCCAAATCTGAGTCATAACCACCCCCCCTCCCCGGGCCCCCCAACCCCAAACTCAATGGGGGGGAGGGGGTTCTTGTCATCCCCATTATGATTTGGGGAGGCTGGGGGAGCCCATCAATGCCCAACCCCCCCCCCCCCGAAGTCAGGTGACCCCCCCAAATGCTGACTCACTGCCCCCACCCTATGGCTGATGAAATAAAGGCAGCAGAAGGGGGGGCACCCATGAGTAATGGGGTTCTATTAGGGGGGGATAAACCAATGAGGGGGTACTTTGGGGGGGAAACTAATGGGGGGGATAAACTAACAAGAGGGGGTTAACTAATGGGGGGGGCTTTGGGATGGGGATAAACTAATGAGGGGGTTCTTTGGGGTGGATGAATTATTGGGGGGTCGTTTGGGGGAATAAACTAAGAAGGGGGTCCTTTGGGATGGGGATAAACTAATAAGAGGGCTCTCTGGGGTGGATAAATTAATGGGGGGGTTGCTTAGGGGATAAACTAATAATGGGGGGGTCTTTCGGGGGCAATAAATTAAGGGGGCATCCTTTGGGATGGGGATAAAGTAGTAAGGAGGTTCTTTGGGGTGAATAAACTAATGGGGGGTTGTTTGTGGGGGATTAATAATAATGGGGGGTCTTTGGGGGGCAATAAACTAAAAGGGGGGGTCCTTTGGGATGGGGATAAACTAATAAAAAGGTATTATGTGGGGGAATACACTAATAAGGTAGGTTCTTTGGGGTCAGAAGGTGGGTTCTTTGGGGGGATAAACTAATAGGGGGGGGTCCTTTGGGGGGATAAACTAATGGGGGAATCCATGGGGGGGAACTAATGGGGGTCTCATTTGGGAGCGCTAAACTAATAAGGGGGTCCTTTGGGGGGATAAACTAATAGGAAGGGTTCTTTGGGGGCATAAACTAATGGGGGGGTCTTTGGGGGGGCTAAATTAATATGGATGGTTCTTTGAGGGGAATAAACTCATAAAGGGGTGCTCTTTGGGGGGGATAAACTAATAGGAAAAGTCCTTTGGGGGGAATAAATAAATAAAAGGGGTTCTTTGACAGGGATAAAATAATGGGGGGCAATAAATTAATAAAGGGGTGCTCTTTGGGGACATACTTGAGGTGTTTTTCTTCTCTTT